TTTATTTATTATTTTTTAATAATAAATTTATTTTTTTATTGGTGTTCAATTTGCCAACATACAGAATAACACCCAGTGCTCATTCCATCAAGTGCCCCCCTCAGTGCCCATCATCCATTCACCCCCACCCCACTCTCCTCCCCTTCTACCACCCCTAGTTCGTTTCCCAGAGTTAGGAGTCTTCATGTTCTGTCTCCCTTTCTGATATTTCAGATTTTATTTATTTGAGAGAGAAAGAGCACAAGCAAGCATGAAGAGGGTGGAGGGGGAGAGAGAGAGAGAGAGAGAGAGAGAGAGAGAGAGAGAGAGAAGCAGGCTCCCCGCTGAACAGGGAGGCCAAAAAGGGCTTACGACCTGGCCAAAGGCAGATGCCCAATGACTGAGCCACCCAAGCACCCCTATTCTTTCTTTCTTTAATCATCAAATTTCTATGTGCTGTTTCAGGTTCAAAGACAAACTGCTTCTACCCTCTGGGTGTTCAGGGGGGTGTTGGGGAGACCATTGTGGTCTAAGGAGGTGCGTGAAGGACCTGGGAGGAGGGAGAGGACAGAGAAGCTTCACAGAGGAATCGACATTGGACCTGAGTCTTGGTGATGAGTTACAGGAAGAAAAGGAGAAAAGCAACTAGAGCTCTGATGTAGAACAAGAGGCAGCAGAGGACTTGGAAATATGTTGGGGACTTACCACTCAAGGCTTTGAGTGGCATCCTAAGGAATTCAAACTTTATCCCGTAGACAGCAGGTAACACTATAAACTAACTTGCATGTGCTGATGCCACAGATGGAAGGAAAGACCAGTGGGATAAGACCCTATAGAAGGATGCTTTAATAATTGAAGGAAGCAGATTGAATTGTAGTGTAGGCTCAAACTAATTGAGTGTAATTGAAGTGTAGACTCAAACTAGGGCAAAAGCAAGAGCATGGTAGGGGCAAAACCTTCAAGACCTTCTTACAGATTGTGAGGTGAGACAGAAGGCTGTAGTCTGGGACAATGTCCCAGCTATCGGGGATGTGGGGCCAGATGGGTCCAAGTGGTTCTTCCAGAGGGAAGAGAAGGATTGGGTCAGGGGGATGCCAATTAGCCACTTTGACAGTAGGCAAGCATCCAGCCAGCACTCTGGAACAGAGATCTCGAGCCCAGGGCAGTAGTTGCCACTTGATGTGACCCGCGTTGATACAAGGTCAGAGTTGATGGCCAGCTTGCTTTCTCAATTAGGTGATGAATGAAGTCAAAAAAAGCAAACCTTCCTAACTAGCACCTAGGTGGGTGCTGAATGTCACCCAGGCACTCTTGAGAGCACTTCAGCTCTATTCCTCTCCCGACTTCCCATCTGACACAGACACTTCAGAGGATGGGGTCTCGCCTAGTCACACCATTACTGAGGGGCTGACCCACAAGCCAGGGCCAGGCCTACTGGCCTCCAGATTCTAATCAAACAGCACCCCAGTGGAGCCCCCGAAGTGCTTCACTTGAGTTCAGATCCATTGTTTAGGTTTCTAAGTGGATCCTCGTTGATGTTTGAGCCTCATAATCCGTAGGTGTGTTCCTGGAGGCCATTGATGGATGCATCTTTTCGTGCCCCCTGATGTTACCCTGGGACATTGCAGAAGTCCACATCCTATTAGAATAGTCTTGTTTGATCCTTAACAGCCACCCTAAGGGGCCACATCATGACCATCCCCTCTGTACATCCCTTTGTGGCTGTTGTACTGTGGGCCCTGATCTGGAGCTCAGGCACAACTTTGCTATTCTGCTGGCCATGTATGGGGCCTGCATATCATTTTAGTGTTTCTGTTCCAGGCTGTGGGAACGGGCAGTGCTCCAGGGGGCTTTCTTTGTGCAGGGTGATTTTTTGGCCCACTCCATGCAGGACCAGTGGAGGCACACATGCTCCTCTTCACTGGCTCTGCAAGACCCCAGGGGGCGGCTAAAGGATTTTCTGCAGAAGCTCACTCACTTTTGAAAAGTTGTGCTGTTGACTCTTTTCTAGGGAACAAGATTTGTTTTGTTCATAATAATCTCAAGCCATGCCTTTTTTGAGGATTTCTCTCTGGGTTACCATTTTGACTTCATGTTGCCTCAATAATCATATTGAATCAGCCTTGCGAAGATTTCCCCAAAGATTACCTTATGTGTCTCTTGAAAAATCTATATGATATTGGTATCTCGTTTCCAAAGTCAAAGTTAATATCAGACTTCAAAGATCCCTTGCCTTCAATAGGTCCTGAAGCATTTTCCATTGGAGGCATTGGTGATAAGAAAATTCGGTTGCTAGCAGGTGGCGGGACCAGGAAACGGGATGCTCAGGGCTGCTTGAGGCAAACAGAAAGGGGGCTCCTAGCTCCTGGGTCTGATGCCTTTGTTCCTCCCCTGTCTGCTTTCATTTCCGCTTAGTCACAGCTCCTCGAGGCTCTGCAGGACTTTAATTAATGCCTCCGTCAAACCAAGCCACCCTGGTGGAGCATCTGTCCTCCGCCAGGCTCGGTCTCCAGGGCACCTGTGCACACTGAGAAGACACTGCCCCCATTTAGCACCTGAATCAGAGAATCATTTCTTCTGCGGGCAAAGCAGGGTGACCTTGTACAAGTCATTTGATTCTCTGACCTACAATCTTTTGATCTGTGAAATAGAAATTGGAGTTCCTAACCACTTATTATGTAATCAGAAGGAAATTTTAAGGCATGCTAAGTGATAAAAGCAAGGAACAAAGAACCATCCAGAGCATTTTCTGACTTGTGGGTGTGTCTGTGTGTGTGTTTCCAGGACATATATTCGTATATTAAGTGCACATAAAACATATATGCACATATGCATATGGAAGTATTCTAGAAAGATCCACAAGAAATTATTGGACTGTGAGGAATGTGGCACTTTTTGTTGTGTTTCCTTGGGTAATATTGTGATTTTCACCATATGTGTCTTCTAATTTTGAAAGTCAAAATTCAGGTATCTGCTTTGTACAGTTTGTTGAGCACCACATGACATCAAGGTAGTGGGAGTACCTAGATGCGCTGTGAACAGTGGGTTCCTTCTCTCTCCATAGGGTTGTGGAGTCCGACATGCACACCCTGACACCCTGCTATGCACAAGCTCTGCCCGTCTTTCTACAACTGTACTGACTTCTGTTCCTAGCATACAAGGAAGGATGAGAAATGGGAATATAGGGATTACCCTGAGTGTCTAGCTGACTATTTTCTGCTTATGAAATGGAAGAGTCTTTTGATGATTCCAAACCTCACTGAACGTCTCTCATAAGCTCAACTCAAAAGGGACCCTGTGGCCTCGGAAAGCAAAGCCCGGGTTCAATGGAGTCCCAGGGAGTGGACTCTCTCCAGAGGATGCTGTGCTGCACCATCCATATCCTGCCCCCAGGCCTGAGTAATTCATTTTCTCAAATTGCCACGGGTGGTGGTAGCCAACAGCTCCTGGTCATGCCTGTTTCTGGAGATTGCTCATCTGAGAGAGCTGCTGACCGAGGTCACGCCTCCTTCCCGGGGTAACCCATGCTCAGTAGTGGGCAATGCACGAGTGCAGAGACCTGGCCCTTCCTCCAAAGCCACGGGCTCTGCAACTCCAGAACTTCCCATGGGATATGCTGAGGTCTCTATGCTGCTGCATGACCGTGACCGTGAGTGCAGCTCCTCCCCCTGCCCCTTCCTGCGATCCCACAGGGCTACTCCCTACTGCACACCCAGTACCTGCCGCAGACACAGCTCTGTCTCAGAGTCTTCTTCCTGGGGAGCTGACTTCTGACCATCCCCGAGCCGGGTGACAGCAGCCAACCCAACACGTCCATCCCCCTTTCCCGATTTGCAGCACCCTGCCTGCCTCACCCATCACGATGCCGTGATTAGCACGAGTCCAATGCACCCATGATCGTCTACTCTCCATGGGGAGAGCAGGTGACTTGCAGATGGCCACTGACCCCTCTCAGACCTGCCCCCAAGGACCAACCGATTCCTCTCTGATAGCAGCAAGGAAGGAGACCAAATGGGACAGGAGGTTGCCACTTCACCGGCTCGAGAACCCAGAGCGGGGAATCAAACCAACTCCCCAGGTGGAGTTTCTTCCCGCAGGACGGACTGGGCAGCACGGAATCATGAAGGGCTGTGTCCCTCCCCCCCACCTCTGGGTGAGCAGTAGATGGACAGGCAGGTCCCACACCCATGGACTGCTCCAGCCTTGTGCTGGCGCCCCCCTCCTCTGCTGCCCACGCCCCTCCTCGGGGGCTTCCTTTCTCTGCCCCCATAAACAAATCCCCGCTGAAATTCACCCCAAGACATCCTTCTCTCTGGAGTTTGCATGGAAGTGAGGCCTGGCCCGTGTCTTCTCTTCCGCTGTGTCTGGGTCTCCAGACACATGGTGGACTTGGCCCTTCTTTCCTCATCGCACAGAGCACAGTTGGGTCATCGTACCAGTGTAGTGCACCCTCCACCTGCAAGCAGATGACATTGTGCAGAGCACCTGATGCTGTGCCTTCCTGTTTGGCATCTTGCCAAATGCAGCAGCCAGGGTTGAGTCTCTAACCTCACATTTTGCAGCAGCGCATCTTCCTCCCCCTGGGCATTACGTACCGCTCACCCAACTCCCGCCAGAGTCGCCGCAAATACCATGTTGCCCTGTGAAAGGGACCCTCTCTGTCTGTCCCTGTCTTCTATGGTGAGCCATGCAGCAGCCAGGGAACGAGGGCTTGGGAGTGGGTCCCTTTAGGTGGCCCCAGACCTTCCGGGTCAGTGCCATCAACCTCATCCTCACTCTTAATATTGCTGCTATTATTATTTTTATTTATTTATTTATTTATTTATTATTATTATTATTATTATTATTATTTTAATATGAGCACACAAGACAGAGGCTTGGCAGATGGTGGTGTTTTCCCCATGCACACAGGTTGGGGGGAGGGCCTCAAACTCTCTTCCCCTGGGGTTGTGAAGCCCTCCATGGCTGTTGTCAGAGCCGGCGTGTGGTGGCCTTAGCTTCTGTGTCTGTCCCGCCTGCAGGGGAGCTTCTATGTGCCGTCGGAGAACTGCATGCAGCACGCACACCGGTGGCACCGGGACCTGTGCTTCCTGCTCCTACACGCCTACCGGGGGCTCCGCGCCTACTTCCTGGTCATCATGAGGGACATCCCCGAGCTGCCACACATGGAGCTGGGTAAGGGCTCGGGGGAAGCCTCAGGCCAGAGGCCCAGCTGCCCCGTTTGGGGCCTGGCTTGAGAAAGCTTGCAGTTTTGCAAGCGCCACGGTGACAAGTGCCCTTCCAGGTATGTTTTCTGTGCGGTGTCTCGTTCCAGCAGGAGAGAGTTTTGGACATGCACCTGCAGGAGGAAAAGGCAGCAGCACCTCGAGACTCATGCACTCATGCATTTGTTCACCCACCAGGCGTTTAGTGCACACTTGCCACACCGCTGGCACCGCTGTACACAATGTCAAGTCGCTTGCTAAGGGGAGTAGTTATAGGATTGCAAATGACAAGAGTATAAAACAACCCCCAAAAGAATATACATAAATTCTCTATATGCTATAAATATATGCATATGTATACAAATACATATTTTATACATATGTTTTTTAATCTGGATGATTATAGAGCCCTCTCAGCAGCCTTCATATGTGGTTTTCTGAGGATGAATAGCTGCGTGCACATCCTCAGACATCATGGAGATCATTGGGCCTGAATCCTTCTTTGCTGACACATGGGGAAGCCGAAGCTCAGAGAGGTGCAGTGACTGCTCAGGATCACACAGCAATGCGTGGCAGAAACAAGACGAGAGATGGGGACTCCTGCATTGACTCTTGGAGCAGGGTCCCTTCTGTCATCCCCCTCATTTGCAGCAGGTGACACAGTGTGATTCTGCTCATAGTCCTCTACTGAGGCCCCTTTGCTTCCAGAACCGAGGCCTGTTGCTTAGCCTGGTTCAAAGTTAAGAATAATCCTGCTGGGGTAGCTCAGCTTCCCCACACGCACCCCTGGATCTCACCTACTGGGACAGCCTTAGAGCCTTGTACACTGCCCATTACTGCACTGAACGTGCCAGGTGACAATGATTTATTTGCATGTTTCTTTTCCCCACTAGACGAGGGGTCTTGAGAACAGAGCCCCCCCCCCCCGATCCCTTGCGCACAGTGCCTGGCAGGTAGGGTCAAGGAGTAGGTGCGGTGCTGTTGATGAGTTGTCCTGCCATCTTAGCATCTGGCCTTATCAGCCTTAACACCCCGGACAAGCCAGACGCTACTCTTTGAATCACGCAATAGTGAAGCTGAATTTTTTTCAGGTTCAAATGTTATGCACACAAAAAAGACACACACAGAATCAGAGCCAGTTTCCGAAGCTCATGGGGAAGATGGAGATGGTGCAGTGCTAGTTGACTTCTTGCTTTAATTTCTTTTTACCCAAAGGAACTAGGTTTATTTGCTCTTTCATTCACGATCGTATTTTTACTGGGTATCTGCTGTGTGCCAGGCGCCACAGACAGAGCCATGATCAGTGGGACAAAAGTCTGCTGTGCCTGGTGGGACTCCCCGAGCCAACGAAGGTGCTGGGGGCAAAGGCACTGCACTCATCAGGCCATCAGTGAGGATCCAGAGGTGTGAGGGAATTGCTCCCACTCACCTGAGCAGCAGTGCTTTAAGTAGAACCCATGCTGTGGCCTGGTGCAAACCACTGACCACAGCATCATGGGACTGAGGGGGGAATTCAAAGATGGAACTGCCAACATTGAATTACAAATGGCCAGAGGCCAGAGATTCCTGCTAAGAAGAGCTGAGATCACAGGCTCCTCTCTGGGGTGTGATGATCATGGGTGTCACAGTGGGTGGAGCTGGGCTCAGCTGTGCTGCTTGCTCCACTACTCTGTTTCCCAGCATTTACCTATATGATGGAGATCTGAATCCATGCCCCACAGGTGTCACACACAGGTAGGTGCAGGTGCGTGCACGCTTGGATGCACATATTTGCAAAAACCCCAAAGGCTGTGGGATCACATTGAACCACACAAACTAGTGTGTGGACCTGGGGGCCTTCTCCTCCTCAGAAAAGCATCCATGAGATTATGTTGATCTTTATCTAGTGTGGGGTCACAAGGCTCCAGATCAGGTTTAACCTTTTTTTTTTTTTTTTTGTAAATATGACCCCTTTAGGAAATTAGAATAGAAAAGGAGAGTCCTCGGGAATTGTGTATCTTTCTGTGACTTTCATGCCAACCTGAACCTATATTGCTATATTGCAGTTAGTGACTGTAGCATTTCCACATGTGTCCATTTAATTGTCCGTCTTTCTTTTTTCTTCCTAGAATCCCTTGGAGTTGAGGAAACGCTCTCTCAGCTGTGCTCAGAGCTACAGGTAATTAGAAAACTGGCCCAAAGGGCAGTTGTGCGATTCAGGACCAACATAGGTCCTGGCTCGATGTAGAAATCAGAGATGAAAGCATAGGGCGTATGAGCTCACCCTAGACCAGAAACTGAAGAGATCCTCTTCTGTCCCATCACTCTCTGTTGTTAAGGGTCCACTTGACCCCTCTGTGTGTCTAGCTCTCTGCTAGATGTTTTGGGAAAAAACGAACAGGTTAACAGGTCTCTATCCCTGGAGCCGACACTGTGTTTGTCTCTTACTTGTCCATTGAACAAAATGTATTGACTACCAGCTATGTGCTTCTCATGGAGGGCGATGGAGACCTTGCACCTGTGCCCAGATGGCCTCAGCCATGGCAGGGGGCTAGCAGCATGATGACGCTGGTCCTGAAAACAGTAGCATGCATCTGTCAAAAATTCATTGAGTATGTATTAGGAATAGGTGCTTCAATAGACACCTTGGCAAATTCCTGCTATTGTCCTTTGCAACCTCTGGAACACTTTCCCCATCTCATTGTGTGGATGGTCTGGGTGGGTACTGCACGTCGTCCTTCTAGAGCAAGAGGCAAGATTAAGATGGAAGCCAGGGTGGCAGCTCAGGCTTGGTGACACTGCTAATCAGTGCAGGCAGCTGGACTCAGAAGACTGTCTCTTTGCAAAGTGACATCGCCGTCTCTCACACCAGCATTCTCATCCCTTGCTGCACAGTCAAAACACATTTGGAACTTTATTTTTTTTCAGATTTATGTATTTATTTGAGAGAGAGAGAGAAAAAAAAAGGAGAGAGAGAGAGAAAGCAAACAGAAGGAAAGGAGAAGCAGGCTTCCCCCTGAGCAGGGAGCTATGGGGCTCAACCCCAGGACCCTAGGATGATGACCTGAGCCAAAGGCAGACACCTAACTGACTGAGCCCCCCTCTCCCCGGTGCCCATATTTGGGACTTTAAAGATGTACCTTTGCCTGGGTCCCATCTAAACAGGGTGGAGACAGTATCCGGGAGTGGAGCTCAGGCATTTGTACAGTCGTAGCTCCCCAGCTCAATGGAAACCACAGTGAGATATCCCCTCACACCTGTTAGAGTGGCTGCTACCAAAAAGACAGACATCAAGGGTGGTGAGGATGTGGTGGGAGGGAAGGGAGCCCATGTGCACTGTTGGGAATGGAAACCGAAGCAGCTGCTGTGGAAGACAGTACGGAAGCTCCTCGAACATATAAAAATATAACCACCCTACGATCCAGCCATTTCGCTGCTGAGTATATATCCAAAGGAAATGAGATCACGGACTCGAAGAGATGTCTGCATCCCCGTGTCCACTGCAGCGTGATTCACAATAGCCAAGCTGTGGAAACAACCTGAGTGTCCACGTACAGGTGAGTGGATGAAGAGGATACAGTGCATCTATGCAGTGGAATTCTACTCAGCCATATGAAGAAGGAAATCCTGCCATTTGCAACAGTGTGAACGACGAATCTCGAGGGCGTCGTGCTGAGTGCAAGAGGTCAAAGACAAGTAATGGGGGATTCCATGTACATGTGAAATGTAAATCAAACAAAAACCTAACTCGTGGGAATAGAGGACAGATTGGTGGTTGTCAGAGGACAAGGGAATGGGGGAAGGTGATCAAAAGGTACAAACGTCCAGTTTTAAGGTGGATCAGTTCTCGGAATGTAACATGCAGTGTGTGGGGCCCAGAGTTAGTAATACTTGCTGTGTATTTGAGAGTTACTGAGTGTAGGTCTTAAAAGTTCTCATCCCAGGAACATCATTTGAAGTATGTGAAGTGATGGGTTTGTTTGCTAATGTTCTTGTGATCATTTCACAATATATGCATTTATCAAATCTTGTATAGCTTACATGTACACAATGCTGTGCGTTAATAGTATCGCAGTAAAACTGGAAGAAGAAAACTTAGAAGAGGCTCCCCAGATGTGTATGCTGCGCAGCCAGGGTTGAGAACACCTGCTTTAGAGCACATTATATTTTTTTAGATACTGTATTTATTTGAGAGAGAGAGAGAGAGAGAGAGAGAGAGAGAGCGCAGAGGGAGAGGGAGAAGCAAACTCTCCACCTAGCAGGGAGCCTGATGCAGGACTCAATCCCAGGACCGTGGGATCATGACCTGAGCCCAAGGCAGATACTTCACAGACTGAGGCACCCAGGCGCCCCTAGAGCATGGTATAAAATCAGCAAAGCTCAGTGTTACGTGGACAGGCAGCAGCTGGGCGGGAAGGCAGAGTGTAAAGGTGGTGCCGGGATCTGGGGTTGGGGAGGGTCTAGGGCGGAGGGGCCATGTGATATGAGCCCTGAAGAAAGGGTGAGACTTAGCTGTAGGATCATCAAGGAGTCCCCTTGTAGGTGCTTGTCCTGATCAAGGTGGGGACACGTGAGGGACACAAGAGGTCCATTTAGAGAGTGTGGTGGGGAAAGACCGGCCAAGGACGGAGATGCTAATGTGTGGAGCAGCCACTCCCTCAATCCGGAGCAGGTGAAGGCAGTACTAAGAGGGAAGGCTAAGCTGACCTCAGGGCCCAAGACTCCAGGGACTGGAGCTCCCCCTTCCTCCCTGGAGTGCACCGAGGGCAGCATCACCTTGGAGAAGCCCGCAGGCTTTGCAGGTTCAAGTGCACACTCCAGCCCTTCTGCACATCAGCTGTGTGATCCCGGGTGTGCAATTTAGGGTCTTTACGGCCCTCAGATTCCTCATCTGTGTGTCGTGGCTGTGGTGAGACCAGGAGAGAGCTCATGAGGGGATCCTATGAGCACCCAGCTCTCGTCTCACAGGTCGGGTCTGCCGTGCAGAGCTGGCCTCTCCCTCCAGGCCTGGATGCAGCTCAGGGTCCCAAGGAGACACTGATGCAATCTGTACATTATCAAAAATTTCGTGTTCGCAGTTTAAAAAAAAATGCAGCTGTTAGCAGCTGTTACTCACCACACCTTTGCTGCCACTGCCCACGGGATGAGCGGTCTGAGATGGGGTGTCCTGTGTGTTCTCTGCTGGCTCTCAGGTTCCCAGAAGCTTCTCTTCTGAAGCCCAGGAAGGCAGGCTAGCCCCCGGTGCTTTCACCAGAGCATCCCACCACCAGGAGCAAGGACAACCTGCATTTAGCCAGCGCGCGCTCTGAGCCAGGTGCAGGCTTAGTGCTTGTCGTGTAGACTCTCCTCTGGCCTCCCCGTAACCACCGAGACTTGGCCTTTATGGAAGCACTTGGTTGGGGCACTCAGTGAGTGGTGGGGGGAGATGGAGCACACACTCCCAGATGGCACAGCACCCAGCCCACCCGCTGCCTCAGTTTCCCGCTGTGCCACACTCCTCGGGGGCAGGGCAGGGGCTCCTCCCTGTTTCTTCCTTAGACCTTACTCAGTGGTGGTGGTGGTTGGTAGGTTGGGGGACTGTGGATGTGATGAGGAGTCGTGATGTGTTGCAGACGCGGTCACATCAGAGCCAGGAGATCTTCCGACTTTAGACAAGCTGCTTAAACTTTCTGGGCCTTGATGTTTGTTTGTTTGTTTTTTTAAGATTTTATTTATTTATTCATGAGAGACACTCACACACAGATGCAGAGACACAGGCAGAGGGAGAAGCAGGTTTCCTGCAAGGAGCCCGATGTGGGACTTGATCCCGGGTCTCCAGGATCACACCTTGGGCTGTAGGCGGCGCCAAACCGCTGTGCCACCGGGGCTGCCCTGGCCTTGATGTTTTTATCTGTAAAGTGGGGATAAAACCGTTTGATTTTTATTAACCTCTTTTAATCTGAGTCAGTAAGCTTGCACACTGGCCAGCTGCCGGTGTTGCATTTCCTCATTTAATGGGCCCAGCAGGTGTACGGCCTGGCCTGAGGGATCCTGTTATCCTGTTGTTCTCAGGGGACGGGGAATCGGGGAATCGGGGCTCAGCTCACAAAGGAGGGGTTGTTTGCCCAGAGTCACAGCACTGGCAGCGCAAGATCAGGCACTGGTGACCGCGACGCCGGAGCCCTCTCTCCCCACCCTGGTGCCGTCCAGGGAAGCAGGCGCGTCCCCTGCAGGGAACACAGGCCGGGTCTGTGAAGCATCCGCATGCAGCCGGCAGGGCGGTGAATGCAGGAAATGCTAACTGTCGCATTTGGTTCAGTTCTCACTGTGCTCTGGCTTGTCACGTCCCTGGCCACAGCTCCCGCTGCCACACGTGCTCAGCCAGGAATGTGGTTCAGAGGCCACGTAGAGTCAGGTTTCTGTGGGAGCGACCCTAGAGTGTTGGCTCAGGAGCTCTGACTCATCTCAGCAAACACTCTGTGAGTGCCCAGGCCTCGCCAGGCCACGTGTTGGGCCCCGGGGGACTCAGCAGGGACAGGACCCCATGCCCTCCGGGGCTCACAGCCAACGGAAGTGACTGGTTGACTCTCGAACCCCCCCGGCCAGAGGGTTCGTTCCTGGAATGAACAGGTGCACTAATGAGTCGCAAGAACGTACAAGCCACCAAAGGTGAGGGCGCGAGGGAGCCTGGAGCAGCTGTCATCCCCCGAGGCTGTTGGCTCATGTACAGACCAAGGCAGGAGGTGGCATGCTCTTTCTTGGTTCCACAGGCCCCTGGGCGATGCTGTGCCATCACGCACCAAGGAGGAGCAGCGGTCGGAGCCCATGTCTGCGTGGACTGCACGACGTGTGCTGGGCGTGAGGGCTGACTGTCCACTTTGGGCAGCCGTGTCCCCTCTGGGTGGCTGGTGGCCCACGTGGGGTGGGCCTGAGGGTGAAATGAGCTCGCATGGGCATGCGGTACCGCTGCCACTTGACCCTGTCCCAGTCGTCTTCGCGAGCTGGTGGGGACGGCAGATGCGGACACAGACATGCGTGTGGTTGTGGGACCCCGGGAGGATGTGTCACTAACCGTCTCCGGGGATGGGGGGCAGATGCTGTGGACCCCAGAGGGGAGGCTGAGTGAGGGAAGGCTTCGTGGCCTCCGGTGAGAGGACTGTCTAGGCAGTGGCTCTGGGAAGGGGAGGCAGCGGGAGGGGGCTGAGCCCCCGGGTGACAGGGAGCCATGCAGGAGGGTGACAAGCTCGCTGGGGGCTGCGTGGATGGAGGAGAGCGTGTCTCGAGGCAGGGAAGGGTGGCGAACCGCATTTACAGCCAACGCCAGTTGCCCTGTGCCGGACGCTGGCTCCCACCTGCCATGCACTGGGCGCTGCCACCCAGCAGCCCTGAGAATACAGGGGGACCTACAGGTGTGTCCCCATTCATTCTGCCACAGCAGACTCCGAAGGGTGCCTTCCATAAAGCTTCTGCTGTATCTGCTGTATCGGTGCATCGTCCCCGCGGGGTTCAGGTGGGAGCTCGGGCTGACAATGAGCCTCTCCGATGCATCTCACGAAAAGCCGAGGAATGGGTCACCTTCCTCTTCTGGCGCCGGGCCCAGGGCTGCAGGGATACTGCCCCTGGTTCTGAGTGATTGCGCTGTTGCAGGCTTAATTTTGTATGGAGCAAACCAGTTAGCCCACTGATGCAGGGGTACGGCTGGGTGATGGGGAGGGAAGCGGGGGTGGGCTTCAGCCCATCCTGTTGTTTGCTAAAGAGCTGCCCTGATGCTCTCAGTGGAGGAAACAGACCCCCTCCCTCACACCCCCAAAAGGGCATTCAAAGCCCACCAAGCATTTAGAGGCAGGACATCGCCACCTACTGGGCAGCCACACCAGGGCGCTAACTGTCCATCAAAGAGAATAGATGAGGTTTGGGGGGGAGGGTGGCGCGTAGGCATGGAAACGTGTCTGTGATTTAAGAGGATTTGAAAACATCGAGTTCTGTAGTCATGGAGCAATTCGAATGCATCTTTATTCCAAGTGAATCCATCGTGTCAACACTTATCAAGCACCCACGGTGTGCTGGCGGCCACTTTGCTCTTCGTTGGGAATACAATGGAGACACTTTCCCAGGACTCAAGAGGAAGAGGCTTGTTCAGAAGCTGCCAGTAGGGTCAGGGCTCGACCAGGGGGTGTAAGACGTGGGGGTGCCTGGCTGTCTGGGAGGCTCGCCATGCAGGGGTCAGGGTGTGCCCGCTGGCAGGGAGGGAACAGCCACACAATCCCAGAGCGCGGGAAGCCTGTCCTGGGGGCTGGGCTGGAAGGGTGAGTCAGGCACAGGGTAAGGTCCCTGCGGTGCAGTCTCATCAGGGAAGGGATGCGGTGTGCTCTCTACTCCGCTGGAACTCAGCCACCTGCTTGGGCACAACGGACAGGCTCAACATGTGCTGACTACCTACCTGAAGGCAGTTGCCAGTTCTCTTTAAAAAATTCAACAAAACCAGGTTTCCTGTCACAGAAAATAAATTCTTTCTGGGTTTCCCCCATAAACTTCTGGGAGATCCTAAATTGCTGAATGGCCTTTCCCTGAGCTGTGCCCTCCTAGCAGGAAATACTAAAAATTAAGTTATGGTGCATAAACAAACAGCTACCAGTTGGGGTGGCCTGGGTTTTCCTTATTTTGTTTACTTAATCGTGTGGATTTTTTTTTTTGAAAATTGCCTTGCCAGAGGGTTTTTAAAAAATTATTTCACTTAAGCCTGAAAACATCTTTGTGATGTGGTTCAAAACGATCCCATTGATAGGGATGTTCCATGACTTCTCATTGAATCCTTGCTTGGGTCTGTAGGTTTGGGCATGTAGGTTTTATTAGCCTAGCTCCCTAGCAGAGGAAACTAAAAGTGTAGAGAGTGCCTGTCCCCTGTGACCATGGTGACTTCTTCCCTGGCCAGCCGCGGTCCCCCTGGGCTGAGCTCTGGAGGGAGCTCACAGCTCTGATCACTCATATCGGTGCCGTGAGGCTGAGCACAGAGTCTGACTCTGCTCAGCCTGGCTTCCCTTCCCCAATGTGACCCCCCCAAAAAAAACTGCAGGGCCCCCTGAGTATCCCCACTGAGGAGTGGGGCTTTGGAAGTGATGCCCAGAGTGCCCTTCAGGACCCTCCCCTTAAATGTGGGGGTCCACGGATCCAGAGGGACCTGGCCATGCTGCAGAGGGGTTTCTTCTGTAGCTGCAAGGCTCTGGGTGCCAGGGAATGTGGTTAGTTCAGGAAACATATGGAGGCTTCCCTTTCCCTTGAGCACCCAGCATAGGGATCACCTCCTCCAGGAAGCCTCCATGACCCTCCGACAGCACTCAGTATATATCTCTTTCACAGCACATGGTAGGTGTATTATAACTCTCTAAATACGTGGTTGTCACTGAGCCACAATACAGGTTGTTCCCAGGCCTGGGTGTTTTTACCTGTGGCTCCCCAGGGCTCAGCCCACCTCTCACATAGAACAATCACTCAGTAAGCAAAGTGAGCGGGGCCGAGTGAACAAAGGAGAGCATGGTGAGAGCCCAGATGAGACACGTGGCAGGAGTGCAGAGGTGAGTGGCTGAGCATTCTTCAGGCGGCTTCACTTGAAAGAGCGTTGGGCCCCGTTGTGTCCTTGTCTGCTTGAAGGGCCTCTCCTCATCCTGCATGAGATGCCCCTCCATGCCCATCATCTGTAATTACACAGGCCCGGGCGTCTGTGCAAGGCGAAGAGTCCTCTTGTGGCCTAATTAGAAGCTTCCTTAACCTTATCTGAAGCCATTTCCGTAATCAACCAAGGGGAAAAAAGATCATTCTCCCAAAGACACATTCAGTGAGTAGCTTTGCTCTCTCTCCTTTTTGCTCTGGCAGCTGAGCTCAGCATTCACACTGTGTTGGCTGGTGCCACTGCAGTGAAGATGGCAGAGCTGTGGGGGCTGGAGTCAGCAGCCCAGCAAGGGAAGTCCAGTTACTGAGGCCTAGGGTGCCTCGCATCGATGCAGAGTCACCAGACTTTTTCCAATAAAGAGTTACTGAAGCCCCATGAGTTGTCCACCACCGTGTAGTTACCAGGAATACAGAGAAGTCTAATGCTCGGAACGCAGGTAGAGGAGGGTCGTGGGAACAATGTGTGTCCAGTGGTGCCATGAGAGTGCGTGTGTGAAGTCAGGTCCACTTCAAGGACAGGGAGGTTTGACGTCCCCTTGGAGTGGAGTAGACATTCCTAAAGAATCATCAGAAGGAGGGGGGCTGCGTTGGCTCCTTACAGTGCCCTGGGGGAGAACAGACACGTCTTGGGTGGTGAAGCAAAGGAGAAGGGAGTCTGGAAGATGAAAGGGGAAGGCCTTCCAAGGAGGATGTGCAGTGTGGTCAGAGCCTAGTACTTGGAAGGAGCTGGGTGTGTTCAGGCCACGGTGAGCAGGTGGTGTGGCCAGAAGGGAAGGTAGCCAGAGGTGAGGCAGGCCATGGCATCGGGGTAAAATGGTGCCAAGTGCTAATGCAGGTGTTTGGTGCTCATTGGTGAGGGTAACTGGTGGAGAGGAGCCACTTCTGGTCTATCCAAAAACCTCATATTGCAGCCTGGAGGTTCCCCAGAGGATGACCGTGTCCCCCACTCTCCCCAACCCACTCCTATGTGTTCTGCGCCTGACACGTTTGGCCACAGATTATGGGGCTGAGCCAAGAGTGGACAGTCCCAGTTTGCCCCGTCTCCCAATAGAGCCAGTACAGGAAGGAAGCCTTCCACCAGGAGAAAGTACAGCCATTCTCCCCCTCTGGAGCTTTGGAACTGGTGTCTTCATCAAAGACTGACCTTTCCTCTTGGAAGAAGTGGCTCAGAGATGCTCCACTTGATTGATGCCCTGTATCTGGCAGCCAGTCCTTGATCATTAAATAACAATTCCCAAGAACTCTAAGAACCTTACTGACTGCCAAGTTGCTTCTTCCCTCTTTTCCCTCCTCTTAGGTAGATGCCTCACTCTAGCCCAGCTGCCTTCCTTGAGCATCAACCTTTAGCCCAAGACTAACAAAAGGAACTTCCACGGGTGGAAGCGAGGCTTTGAATTTACTTTTCCTATTGTTATTACATCCTATAAGTGGTCACTTGCTCTGCATATGCATTTTACAGATGAAGAAACTGAGGCACGGGGCAGTAATGGGCTTGAAATGGCTATGGTTGTGTGTCCTGATGCATCTCTGTGGCAGAGTGATTCCCACCACTCCTAAGCTTTAACGCACCTTGCTGCCTCCTCCACTCAGTGAGGCTCCTGCCAGCAGAGACCCTAGCCTTATTCATTTTCATGTCCCTGTTTATTCAAAACATGTGCCTGAGACATGGAAGATGCACATTAAGTGCTTGCTGAATACATGACGAGATTGAGCACTCAGTGTCAGGTTTTAACACCTGCCTCCCTGTCTCTCTCATAGACCTGATCTCCTCTCTCCCCTCTGCAGAATCAAAGTCCACCCCACCCCCTAATGGATGACCTCCTAGTTCTAAACTAAGGCCACCCGAAGGTTCCCCTTCAAAGGCTCTAGGCCCTCTCTAGGCTGGTGTCTTCAAGGTGTAGTTAAGGCAACCCAGGATCCCCCTTAAGCTATTTGGAGTGACGGTGGTAGGGCTGTAGAGCACCCACCCTGTGCAAATCACCTAACTAGTCAGGTACTCTGAGATGATAAAGGCATTAGCATTTCTCAGGAAGTGTTTTCAACACCTACTATCAAAAGGCAGTGTGGTGTGGTGGGTCTGTGGTCAGCCATGCCACTAAATCCCAGCTCCGTGTGGCCTTGGCTGTGCTACTGAATTTCTCTGATTCTCATTTTATTTTTATGTGAAATGATGCACAAGAACTCTATTAAAAGGTAATGGTGAGCGTGAAACGGGGAGCACACACAAAATGCCTAGTGTCCTACCTGTCAAATAGCCCTGAAGACGTAGAAACCATAATGACTGTAGAAGACTGAGCCCAGAATGGAATGTGATACAGAGTCCAGAGAAAGGAGAGATTCACTAAAAGCAGGGAAGTCAGCAAAGGCTTCGGGAGGGAGCCTGTAGTAGATTCATGCAGAAGAGGTCCTTTACTGCCGCCATTTTTCCTCTGCAGATGTTGAACAATCCAGAGAAGATAGCTGAGCAGATAAGTAAGGATCTCGCCTGGCTCACCTCCCACCTAATGGCTCTGTGGACCCAGTTCCTAGACACGGTGACTCTACACTCCCAGGTGGCCACTTATCTCACCCAGGAACATCACACCTTGAGGGTAAGGTGTCAAATGGTATGAATTCTCTAATCACATGCCAGTGGACCCTTGAGGAAGCTTTCCAACAGTTAGTTCACTGGGCAGAATAGGAATTGAGGTTGACTTCGTAGACATGAGTGCCAGTCCTGGCCCCACCATGAGCTCTCAGACTTTATGAACTTGTTCAGCCTCTGAAAACTTTGCCTCTACCATTGATTTAACACCTGCCTTGGCTACCAGATGATAGCATGAGGGTGTTACACGTGCCCTGCAAATGTTTTAGAGAAGTGCTTTGAAATGTAAGATGTTGTTCGTGGTGTATTTCTTTGCCATCTATGTGGATGGTACTAATGCATAACAGAATATGTTGGTCTCCTCATTTACAGCAAGAAGACTGAATATCTGAGCCCACAGAATACTTATCAGTTGCACTTACATGACTGGCTTTGCAAACTCTGGTTCGTCTGCATTTACTTAACGGTCATGGTCTTCAAGTATATTCTTCTAGTAGAAGAAATAAGACCTAAATAAACAAAGTATAGAAAACAATGCAAGAACAGGTTCTCATAAATATGCATTAAACTGTGTCTATAACCCAGCTTTGGGCTAAGTGCCCCAGATGAGAGAGGGAACCTGTGGAAGAGCTTGTTTTGAAACCTCTTGGTGGTGGACTTATCTCTCCTTTGTTCCTACCACTTGCGTCTGTGAGTCCCAGTTTCCCTTTGGAAATTAAAGATCATGCCCACCCAGTGCATTAAACTGTTTGCATTATCTTATTCCTCAGGTCCGAAGGTTTTCTGAGGCCTTCTTTTACATGGAGCACCAAAAACTTGCAGTCCTGACTTTCCAGGAAAATCTGTAAGTAACCAATTGCATGCCCACATCACACTGTGAAAGTGGCCACCCAAGACATTCTTGTTCAAAGGCGCTTCTTCCCTTCGTCTCTGACTGCAAAGGAAAGAAGTCTGCCCACCTCTGCACATTCAGGCTACACTTTCTCTGCAGGCAAAAGAGTCAGACAAATTGCAGAGGCAGGAGCTGGCAGGTGGCAGAGAAGGTCAATAGCCAAAGTTTTCTTTTGTTGAATGTTATTATGGTTCTATAGACAGAATCAAGACTTCCTAGGTCCCTGAAGACATCTGTGCTGAGTCTTCTTTGTAAAACGAATTAGAAGCAGGTGGCGTGGCCACAAGCTATGTCAGAAAAAACACAGAATTCGCTGGAGACTCTGCAGTAGCCTCAAAATGCATTTCGCATAAGAATGAAGACGGAACTACCTAATTAGGAGGACTGATGAATTTCTGAGTCTGCCTTCCTCCAAAATTAAAAATAAAAAAAAGGGAAAACATACAAAAAGAGTCAGGAGGGTTGACAGAAAATGAGGTCATTCTCTTATAGATCTCCCCAGTAGGCAGGAGCAGATGGGTCCCTCCAAGATGGGTTGGCCTTTGCTAACCAAGTTCAAGGGGCTCTTTTTGTTTCTGAATCATACATTCACCTCAAAGAATAAATGTGGATGGAGTCATTGTTCGAGATGGCCTGGTAAATCCAGCAGGAGAAATACTTCAGGTTCCTCTGTCTCACAAGACAGACCTGAAAACCTTCTCGCCCTCTTTTTTATGACCTTCTCTTCCTTCTCTGCACACGTCATCATGTTGGAAAAGTATGGCGGCACTGACAGTTTGCCTTATGGAATCTGGAGGGGGATGGGGCAGAGAAAATACATCTGTGGAGAGGACAGCTTGTCTGGAGCCAGGTAGTCTTCCAGTCACTCTCATATTCATTCATTCTGTCCAGCAGCTAAGATGAGAAGAGTTAACATGATAAATGTGAACAGAACCATGAGGGCCACTGGGCAAGATGCTGTGAATCAGGATCCTGGCAGGAACTTGCTTCCTGAGTCTCCATGATAGGCAAGCCCTCGATTGCAGGACTGTGCTGTGTGCCCAAGGGGCATGGATGGGTGCACGTGGAGGGGACAGATACATAGGCAACTACTCTTGTAGAGGAGTTTTGTTGAGATGTTGACCACTTATACCAAGTATAGAGGATATGGTACTTGGCCAAGTTGGGATCAAGATCCTATTCCTCCTTTGGCCTACAGCAGACCCTTGAGAAAGTACTGTTCTATTGCTGGGTTGTTATTTTTCTCTTCCCCTCCCTCAATCTTAGTTTCTCTAAAATGGGCAGGACAATAGCTGTAAGGACCAAAGGAGAACATCCATACACGGAACACATCGGTCAAGCCACAGACACTGATCAAAAAATGTTAGGTGATGACTAATACGTTACACAATTGTGGACTTTGCAAGTAGGCCCTGCAACCCTGCAAGGGACACGTCACTGATGCCGTCCTTGTGGGTCTCTCATTCTAGGGTAGCTGCAGGCAAGACGTAAATCCAGTTATCTCAGGTAGTGACAAGTAAAGAAAACCAAATCAAGGTGAGGACACAGAACATGATGAGAAGGGATATGGCCAGCATCCTCATTGAAGGACTAGCTCTCCAAAAAACAAAAACAACTTAGGTCTGTAGTGCTCACTGATTTTCACTGTGAGAATGCTCCCACCACAGTGGTGTTCAGGCCGCCAATATGTTCTCTCTGAACACGGGGGCTGGGAAGGGATGTGCACAGTTGGCTCTTGCAAGCTGGTGGGACTGGCTCCAACACAGCACTGGGTGTGAGATAAGGACCGTTGTAGCCCAAGTGCTGGGAGGGAATCTTTCTGAGGATGTGACATTTGAATGGAGACTGGGGTTATAGGCAGCCAGACCTTGATATGAAAGAAGGCCGGTCAGGAGGAAAAGCTGGTGTCAGGGCTCTTGCATGGGAACACAGGGTGTTGGAGGAGCAGCTGGAAGGCAAACGAAGCTATAGGATGGAGGGAGCTGGAATGAGAGGGGAGATAGGCAGGACCAACGAGGTGGACCAGTCTATGTGGGACCTGATGGACCAGGATAGAGAATTCAGACTTGGCACCGTGACAGTTATGATTCAGGGCTTTTTAAAAAGCTGGCAAGTAATATGGTGGAAAGACCTGATCTCAAACTCCTATACATGGTTTGAAATCTTGTTCCGTAACCAGCAATATTTCTGACACCAGATCAGTTCCTGCACCTCTCTTAGGTTGCTGCCTAGAAGTGAAAAGAAGAGTCCTTCCTTCAACAGATACTTGCTTAGTGCTGATTATGGGCCTGACACTCTTGTGGGTACTAGTCAGCAGTGACCAAAAGAGATGAATCCCTCATCTCATGGGGCTTATATTTTCATAGCAGGAGGCATACAAGTAAATAAATATGGTATGCCAAATGCGGTATGTGCCAATATGAGTGTGGTCAGAATGAGGGGCTGCTGTTCCATCCAGCTATCTCAGAAGAGTCCCCGAGAAGATGACATTCAGCCAGAGGTCTGAAGCAGGCACAAACTGAGCCCTGCAAATACCCAGGAGACTAGAGCATCTGCCTCACAGAACAGCACGAGAGGAACTTAGTGCTACTCGCTCGTAGATATTAACCTGCAAGGGAAAGTATACACAAGGCTAGCAGCAATATTATTCAGGAAGAAGTAAAATTTAATTAGATCATTAGGAGTAAGAGTTATGGAACCAAAAGGGGAACATTATGTCAGACTGAGAAGGTTCCTGGAGTAAAGGTACAGAGTGCTATGAACAGAGTTTCATCTCAGGGTGAGGCCGTGCTAGCAAGGGTGTGTGGGCATGGGTGTGGCCCGCTGGGTATCGGAGCCGGACAGGGAGGGTGTACATCGGAGACAGAGCCATCCTCCCAAATCAGGATGGACAAGTGGACAGACAAGATGGCCCCGGTGACACTCATCTGTCAAGACCCGCCTTGGTCAAGCTCAGAGTAGATTGTGTTTCTCAAACACAATCATTGAGTACACTGTGACCTCCACCACCACGCTTCCACATGAAAAGGATAGGATAGGATGGGCTTTGACAGAATAAGATGGAGTAGAGAGTACGAGACAGACACGTTTCTGAAACTTTCACTTCAGTGTGTGCTTCTGGGAGTGTGCGCTTGTACTCGGTCGCCATGCAAAATGGAGATTGTTTCTTGCCATGGTTGCAGGATTTAAGAATGCAATGTTGCAGTGTTTACAAGTGGTTTAGAGCTGGCTGGTAGCAAGGGTGTGTTTTATTGTCTCTCTCTTCTGCTTTACGAGTGTCAAGCCTGTGCTTTTCATGCAGTAAGGAAGGGCTCAATGAGAGATGAATGAATGAATGCAGAAGTGTTGATGTACAGGACAACCTGTCTTGGTGATGTAACGTCTGTAACAATGACAATTGATTTATCACTTTGCTTCTTGTGTTTTTCTATAATAATAAGTATAGCACTAAGTTTTAAAGATTACTCATTTTACAAGATGCTATGTCAATAGCGTTGAACCCAAGAGGCACTTGCCCTGCCTTCCTGGTGTTTTGTTTATTGAGATGACTTTGCTAAGAAGAGCCCAGCCAAGTGCTTTTCCTGCATTGGCTCATTTAATGTCCACACTAATACCTTGAGCTAGGAACTGGTTGTATCCCCACTTCACCGAGGAAGAAACTGGGAAAACCTGGGCTCAGACAGGTTAAGTAGCTTATCTTAGACCTCACGGCAAGCATGTGATACACACAGGAATCTACTGGAGTCCGGATCCCACATTCCTACCATCCTTGCTGTGGATGTGGTCTATAGTGGTTAACCATTATCCTGAAGAACTGAACGTGGATTCCTCAACCTCCAAAATAGAAGGATCTGTGTGTTGTTGGCTAAGCTCCTGGAGTCGGGGAGATAAGTAGGTGATGGACTAGGTCCTGGGTGCTCCAGATAGCGGGTGTCTAGAACCTGTCTTACTCCCTTGAAAGTTTATGCCCATTGACCAGCATCTCCCCATTTCTCCACCCAGCCCCTGGCAACCACCCTTTATTTTTTTTTGACTCTGAATTTGATTATTTTTCGATACCTCCTGAATGTGGAATCGCCAGGATTTGTCCTTGTGAGGCCGACTCCTTTCACATAGCATAATGTCCTCAAGGTTTATCCATGTCGTCATGTATGACAAGGTCTCCTTCTTTCCTAAGCCTGAATCCTATCCCATTGTGCTGCATTTTCTTTATCCTTTTTCTGTTCATGGACACTCAGCTTGTCTCTGTAGCTGGGCTGCTGTGAATAGTGCTGCTACACATGTGGGTGTGCACAAACCTCTTAAAGACCCTGATTTCTTTTGGATAAATACCCGGGAGTTGGATCATCAGATCCTAGGGTACTTCTATTTTTACTTTTCTCAGGAACTTCTGTACTGTTTTCCATGGCAGCTGTGGCGTCTTGCATCCTCATCAACAGTGTATGAGGGCCGCACCCTCTCCACATCCTCACCAACACTTGCTTTTGTGTTTGTTTTAAGAATAGCCATCCTAGGTGTGAGATGATAGAATTGTGCTCTAGAATTTTTAGTCATTTTTTTAAACATATGCTAAGCACTGTTGTAGGTACTGGGTCACATTCACGAAGCCTGTACGCTCAAGAAGCCACATTCTGGCAAGAGGTAATGCCCTGCATAAAGTAGCCTGGACCCAGCTCTGTAGAACCTCTCATGTTGTGTTATAGTTACTTGGTTAATCACCTCATTAATTCATGACTATAAGCTCTTTAGGTCCAGAATCAGGTTTCCATCCTGTAGGTATATGCCCTAGCTTGTAGACCTGGTCCTCCACACATGGGTGTCCAGTCAGTAGACTTCTTTAATAAATTAAACACTGGACCCAAAGGTCTAGGTTCACATGACAGCAAAGAAGTGCAGGACTGATTGCAACAAAAGTCTATTTAAGTATTCAGGAAAGGTTCACAATATTATAAGGTTGTTGCAGCCTTTGTGGCTTTGAGGAAGAGAATACATTGCTTATCATTTTTATTTTTTTTATTGTTCTTTTCTTTTTTTTTTTTTTTCTAGAGACAGGGAGTGGGGAGAGAAAGCGGGCAGGGGTAGAGGGAGCGGGAGAGAATCCCACACAGACTTCCTGCTGAACGCAGGGCCCGACTTGGGACGGGATCTCATGAGCCTGAGATCACAACCTGAGCCAAAACCAGGAGTCAGACTCTTAACCTGAGCCATCCAGGTGCCTCACACTGCTTATCCTTTTTGATCATAGGTTAAAATCCAACTGAGAAAGAAAGAAATAAAATATTCATACTTCAAATGCATATTCAAAATATGTATATAAAATATCCTATAGGCATATACATTCATTATATTTGTTCCTGAGAATGCAGAATGAGAGAATTTTCCCTGGGCTTGTGTGGAGCTCTGTAGCTATGAGCTGTTCTGTGGGAGCAGGTGACCTGCCTACATGGCTGAGGAGTGACATGGGGGCTTCCAGAAGTCAGGCTACGTTTTTTTATCCTACATGGAGGAACCAAAACACATAGCTCCCAAACTAGGGGTACTTACACCCCAATCAAGGTTGCTGGTGTTTACACAGGAAGCAATAAAACAAGAAAAAAGAAAGCGTTTTAGATGTTTTTAATACTTATGCCACAGCATAGGATTCAGACCCTAACGTCCTATAGGAGGTGAGAAAAGCAAGAGTAGAGGATACGTAGAGCTTGAAGTTTTTTCTCCAAAGGACTAATTTAAGATTCCTAGCCATTTAGAAGCTCAGCTCCTGCTCCACTAGAGTGTTACTTAGTGCATCCCACTGAAACAGAACATGATACGTGCCTTGATCATACCATCCAAGACCTCTAGGCTCAGTGCCCAGACCAGTTCCCACCATGGCCCTAGGGGCTGGCTGGGTGGTTGGCAGGGAGAAAGGAAGAGGATGGACAGACAGACGGTGTATTGTCAGAGCCTGCTGAACGTTTTCTTGGAGTCAGGGGTTGGGGCAATGATTCTTACCTCATTTTAAACTTCCCCTGACGCTAACCCAATCCGTGCGTCCCCAGGATACAAACCCACAGCCAGCTGTCTCTGGACATCCGGAATTCGGAGTACCTCACCACCATGCCCCCGCTGCCCGCGGAGTGCCTCGACATCGATGGCGACTGGAACACCCTGCCCGTTATCTTTGAGGACAGATACGTGGACTGCCCTGCAACAGGTTGGTCCTTGCTTGGGAAAGACTCAACACTAAGGCTCCTCTGTGGGTCCCCAGTCAGTTGCCAGCAGTGGGACCAAATCAAGGCAGTAATTTGTCAGGCTGTGGAGGAGAAGCAAAACCTCAGGCTAAGCTTAGTTATTTGGGGTGACTTTGTTTCAGTGCAATTTTCAGATCAGAGTCACAGAAGGACAGCTATGACAGAGATCCCCTTCCTGACCCTTTCTGGGGTAAAATCCTGCTAGAGGCCTCAGTGTTTTCATCTATAAAACAGGAACCATAGTCTCCCCTCACCAGAATACCCTGAGCAGAGGACAGACATCCTTTCTTATCTCAGAGGCATGACACAAATATGAAGTCATGTCTCGTTGAACTTTGGCGGCATTCGGTTCAGACTCCTATGGAGAGCTTGGTTCATGCCACGAACCAGGCCCGGTATTCGAGAAAGTGGGCTGCCCCAGTGACTGAATTAGTGGGTGAGCCGCTCACTCAGGGAGAAAAGACAGCATGCTTGCGTGGATCTGTGTCTTTGTGTCCACACCACAGTCTCTCTTGCTGTTCTGCACAGCGTGTTAAGGAACTGATAGGTTAGCTGGAGAGAGCCTGGTGCGGACGGGGTATTCCATGGTTGCTGGTCCTCTGTCCCCTCCTGCAGTCCTGCTCATGGAAGCCCACAAGCCATCACAACCCCTTAAAGAGCAAGAAAATACCTGGCTGGAGGTTTTACATGTTTTATCTTTTTAATCCTATTAAAAACAAAACAAAAAAAAAAACCTCATGCACCCTGTTTCATAGAGAAAAACTGAAGCTCAACAAATTTAAGTATGTATTAAAGATCCTACAGCTTATAAAAGCCAATGTTCGGGGCACCTGGGTGGCTGAATGGTTGAGCGCCTGCCTTGGGCTCAGGTCGTGATCCTGGGGTCCTGGGATCGAGTCCCACATCGGGCTCCCCACATGGAGCCTGTTTCTCCCTCTGCCTGTGTCTCTGTCTCTCTCTGTGTCTCTCATGAATAAATAAAATCTTTTAAAAAGATTAAAAAGTAAGTAAATCAAATAAAAGCCAACGTTCAAAGCAAGTCACTCCAGCTCCAAGGCCCAGGGTCTGTCCTACCATCTCTTTGTGAGGCGATTCAAACCCTGATGCTGGGATACCCATCGTTTAAATGATGTGCCACTTAAATTCCAGAGTTTCTGCAGGCAGAGATTTGTAGGCTCTTTTAAAAGTCCAGGCGGACTTCCAAGGACAGTCCAGCTTTATGGTGGAAGGATGCTCCTGGTTCTCAGCTGTGCCCTGACATCTAGTGTCAATGCTGTGTATGACAGCTGGAAGGTACGCGCCCCAGAGATGGCAGCCTCAGCAGCTGGTCCCAAAGAGCTTAACACTTGGCCCCAGGCTGCGTGTGTATGTGTGTGTGTCCCTGTGTGTGCGTGTGCGCTCGTCTTCATTACAGTGACATCAGGTAGCTACAGAACCCTTGAACAGGGAGGGAAAAAATTTATAATCAGCCCCGGCAATTGGACCCTGAGATGTTGCTACTGGGCTTCGTTGCAGGTCTTCTGATCTGTTTTCCTTTCCATATGAATGACACCGCAATGGACGTAAATCTCACTCCTGCGACTCATGCGTACAATTGTATTGCATATCTTTATGTTTTATAAATCTTCATACCAGCTGAGCCCCATCCCTTTGGCAGCACCAGCCGGGAAGTCAACCTTGGGCTTACGCGGGCTGCCAGGGGCTGCCAGCCCTCCTCCTCTGCGCGCCAAGGTGGTGCCCTAGACTTAGGTGTGGCTGGGGGGCCACCTTTCCTAGGCCATCTGCCCCTGCAGGTTCCTCAAAGCTTCGTATTGTCCATCTCTGCCTGTGTCTGCAGAGTGCTTGGGATGGGGAACTTAACTGAGTCTGTGACCCCAGCACAAAGGATCCCGTCTTCCCAGAAAGACCCCAAGGCAATTGCTCTCAGAGGGTTGGCTGTCTCCCCAAGACTCCTCTCTACAGATCTCTCACTTCTCCCTTCTCTTTCCCAAGACTATTTCTGCACTCAAAACTCTTCCTGACCTTTATTCCTTCACCATGTGCTCTGATGACACTTTAATCCCAGAGCAAAAGCATCAGCAGATAAAGAATGAATTCCCTTTCCCTCCAGGGGTTGGTGACCTTAATGTAATTTGCAATGAGGTCGTGGGATTTGCATTCCATTGTTGCAGTGTAATGAAGAAATGGAAATAAGAGTCCCATTTCCACATTAAAATAGGAATATTTATTCCCGGTCTGCTACAGTACTGTGGCTTGATACCTACTGTGTGCCAGGCCCTTGCAAAGTCTGTCCATATGGTCTTTGATCGCTTCTCCCAGGTACCCCTCACTCCTCTGTCCCAAGGCAATTGAACCTTTTGCCCAAGGACCTTAACCATTGACCAGGCTGCCTGAATTGGAATTTTTTCCCCAACCATCGGTGTCTGTGTAATTGGACAAAAGGAATTGTAATTTATATTCTGCAGGCCTGCCATGATCAGTGGATACATCCATCTACAGGACACTTAGGAGTGACTGGCACAAAGGAAGTGATGAATGGATGTCAGCTAATGCCATTAGCTAGTATCTGACTAAAGCCATTCTCTTTGAATTAGACCCAATGCCACTCTCATTTTCCCCACAGTTGTGGTAGTGAAACTAGTGTTGCTATTTTTGACAATCCGCTTCCTTGCTGGGCTTTCTGTGTCCTGTCTTGAATTGTCAATGACAAATCAGAGGCATCTTTCATTTTTCGTGCAAGAATTCGCCAATCCTCCTATTGCCTATAATGTAAAGACCAGACTCCTCATTCATAGAGCATTCAAGTCCATCCATATCGTGGCTTCCCTATACCTCATGCCCACTTGACACCCTTGTTCACTCTTGCTCCAGCCACATGGGATCTAACTGATGCCTGACTAGACTATGTACTAGTTTTCTGGTCTTTGCCATTGCTGTCTCCCTGCCTCCTATGACTCATAATCTCCTTCTCTGAAGAACCCAATTCATATTCTCTAGGATACAACCCACATGCTTTGGGTGGGAGAGCCAACTGCACTGTACTTTGTATGCTTCCCAATATTTGGAAAATCCCTTAGAGACAGAGACTATTTCATTGTTATAACCGATCCCACTTGCCCTCTCCCTAACCCATGGCCTAGTATAGGGCTTTGTGCAAAGCTGTGCCAATGTTTTATTCATGGATTAAATAACATTGACGCTGTCGTTTTTTCAAACCAACATAAACATCTAGTGAAAGTAACAGTCTTTGTTCTGCTGCATTTCTGTTCTATTCTCAATTCATTTTATGAACACAATTCACTGTGTGGCAGCCTATGGTGTTAGCTGTGGGCACACCAATATTCATACATTACAACCCTTCTCTCTATTGGAGACAGGAAATGCACAAGTGGATCGTTGTATGGTGGTGGTGATGTGATAGTCCATGTGTGTAGAGGGGATGCTGGGAATTTGCTCAGGGGACATCTAACCTGCTGTTAGCTATGGGGAAACTCCCCCAGAGAAAGGGACATTTGCTCATCTCTCAAGATGCAAAGAATATATCCACATAAGGAAGAGACCCGTTTTTTTCCCAATCTTTGTTCTAATCTTTGACCCAGTCATAAATATCACCCCAAAATGTGAGCTGGAGATGTGGTTTGTAAGTGGTTCACTTCATAACATCCAAGAATGGTTATACTCCTTTAACTTCTATGAAAACCATTTGAAGGATTTAAAGGTTTTATTTTATTTTATTATTTTATTTTTTTAAAGATTTTATTTATTTATTCATGATAGTCACACACAGAGAGAGAGAGAGAGAGAGGCAGAGACACAGGCAGAGGGAGAAGCAGGCTCCATGCAGGGAGCCCGATGTGGGACTCGATCCCGGGTCTCCAGGATTGCGCCCTGGGCCAAAGGCAGGCGCTAAACCACTGCACCACCCAGGGATACCGATTTAAAGGTTTTAAATGAAATAAAAGCCCAGTCCCCTCTTTTTGTGTCTGGTGAGCATGGAAATTGAATAACATATCAGATGGCTTTTTCAGGAGAGATATGCTAGAGATAGATATGGGAGACACTTGTTTTCTTCCAGTTATGCTTTATTAGAAGGGAGAGAAAAAGAAAGATTTGGGGAGGAAGAGCTGGAGGAGGAGGGGCAGGAGGGCCAGGAGGAGGAAGAGAGAAGAGGAGACAAAAGAAAAGAGAGAACAGATGGAGAGATAGGATGAAAGAGGTAATAGTTTACCCTAAAGAAAAATAAGAGAAAGAAGGTCATGCTTTGACCCCCACCATCCTACCAGGAAGATCAGAGTGATCTGGGAACTTCTGTGGTCTGAATGCCGTGCAGGATAATTGTCCTGGTGACAGAGCTCAAGCTTGGAGGGTTTCTCTACAGAAAGCAGGACTCTGTCTTCTCCATGTGTGGCAGTTCATATCATGACTCTCCTGTGAGCTGTGTCTGTGAAGCCTGCTGGTTGCTATGAATTTGCCCATCTTAGAGTTGAGGAAAGTGAGCTTGAATGGGGGGAAAAAAACTTAAGTATTTAAGTTCCATCATTGTCCAAGGCCTCACGGCTGGGGGTTGCCAGTGTCAGGATGAGAAAGCAGGCCTTCCTAGCTCCAAAGCTCTTTCCACACTGTAAATGCTACGTGATGTAGAGAAATTCTTTAATATTTATAAGAATTGTTAAGAACTTTTATTAAGTAAAAGACACGGGATCCCTGGGTGGTTCAGCGGTTTGGCGCCTGCCTTGGGCCAGAGTGTGATCCTGGAGTCCCACATTGGGCTCCCTGTATGGGGCCTGCTTCTCCCTCTGCCTATGTCTCTGCCTCTCTCTCTCTCTCTCTCTCTCTCTCTCTCTGTGTGTGTGTGTGTGTCTCATGAATAAATAAATACAAATCTTAAAAAAATAAAATAAGTAAAAGGCAAATCATGAATTACAGTATTTTACAGTTTTGCATTAATGCAAGACGATTCTGACACTGATTACCTAGTGTTAGGGCAAATAGGTTAAAGGCACAGCCTCTGATAAGACCACCCTCCTATCAGACAGAAGCTTGGCGGTTCCTAGGCCATCTGCTCTCCTGACCAACTGGCTACCAATTCAGAAGGTACCACCACCGCCTCCGGTTTGATGACTTGCTAGAACAAATCACAGAACTCAGGAAAGTGCTTTGCCTATGATTACAGTTTTAATATAAAGGATACAAATAAAAACCAGCCAAAAAAAGACACCTATATGGCAAAGTATGAAAGGGTCCCAAACATGAAGATCCCATGCCCCCAGAGCTGTTCATCCTGGTGAATCAATGTGTATTGCCCAATGGAAGTTTACTCAAGCCCAACTATCCAGTTTTTATTGGGGTTTCATTATGTAGGTATGGTTGGTTGAATCATTGGCCACATGATTGAACCACTCTCCCCAGATGTTGTACTGGTACCACCTGGCTCAAAGCCCCAACCAAATAATTGGTCTTTCTGGCATGGCCAGCCCCCATCCTGAGTCATCTCCTTAGTACAAACTATTAAAGGACTCATCATGAGTCACCTGGTTAGTATAAGCTTTTCAGGCTTGCCACCAATAACAAAGACATTTCCATCAAATGGGAAATTTCCCAAATTCAGAGGTCGTCCCCCAGGAGCAAAGTTCGGCCAATTTTTTTTTTATTTTACAGTCAGGCTTTGGGATAGTTTGTGGACATAGTTTCTTAAACTATAGTACATTTTTCTTTCTTCTTTTTGTAGGGTGCAATTTGAGTGTTTACCCTAATTTTGATGTTCCAACAAGTCCTGCAATAATGAATCTAAAAGACACAGAAGAGAACCCTATTATAAATAGAAAATCACCTTTTAGGGAAGACCTTGTCTTGCCCACCATGAAACCACCTCAGATGGACTCTGATGAGGAAGTTACTAGGTGTCCAGAGCCAGACAACAGCATAACCACACCAAAACATGTGGATGTGTGCTCCAAATCTCAGGTGTATTTGACAATTGGTGAGTTCCAGAACAAGGCAGATTTGCCTGAAGATGAATGTTGGACTGGCCAGAGGTCTGATGTTGGAACACATCCACTGGCAGATGAGGGCCTGCCCAGAAGGAGTCCAGGTCCAGAGGATGGCCAGGCCCCAGTACTCACCTACATTGATGTGAAATCTAGCAATAAGAAGCCTTGCAGTGCTGAACCCACAGTGGTCATTAGTGCTCAGCATGAGAGCGGGCACTCTCAAGATAACTATGAATCAGACAGAACTGTGCCAGGCAAAGACATAGCAGGTGGAAGTCGTCCAAACGCCATCATTTCGGAGAAAACAACACTCCATGAGTTAAGTACTCTAGGAAAGGTCGCAAACCAGGAGGGCAAGGTGGTGCTGCTAAGTCTAAAGCTCATCCCCTCTGAGCCCTGTGACCCACTAAACTCCACTTTGAGGGATCCCTTGGATGTTAGGGCTTCCCCAAAGGACCCTCATGCAGAGGAACAGGAGGAAGTGTCGGTGCTCTCTGGGGTCATCAAGAGGTCCTCTTCCATCATCTCTGATTCAGGCATTGAGAGCGAGCCAAGCTCTGTTGCCTGGTCCGAGGCACGAAGCAGGGCCCTGGAGTTACCCAGTGATCGAGAAGTCTTGCACCATCTGGTTCGACGACATGCCCTGCACAGGAACTCCTTAGAGGGTGGACACACAGAGAGCAATACGAGTTTGCCAAGTGGGATCCAGGCATCTCTCACCTCCATTAGCTCTTTGCCTTTTGAGGAGGAAGAGCGGGAGTTGGCCAACACCAAGTTGACCAAGTCTGTGTCTGCACCCCAGATCAGTAGCCCAGAGGAGTCCTCTGAAGACATGGACACGATGCAGCAACGTGGAGGTCTTGCTGAAAGGTCAGCCATACCCATCAAGAGCATAGACTCCCCAGGTGCCGGGACAGACTCTTTCCCTGGGCAGGTGGTTTCAGGTGCTGACATCCAGCAGGGCCCTGGTTACATAGACATCCCCAAAGGTAAAGAGAGTCAATTTGATCCTCAAGGACCTTGTTGTCTTGATGGCAGGACTGAGAAACCTCCAGACATTGAAACCAAAGGTCTTAATTTAGAAATACCACATATCATAGCACTTGAAAACCCTCAGAATGGATCTTGTCCTGGAGTACTAATGGAGACTCCAAAGGGCATGCCTGAAGACTTGAATGTGGAGAAAGGAGCTCTTTCCGACAGCAGCATCTCAGATGATGAGACTGTCGCCCACCATGAGGTGCCTGAATGGAGCTGTACAGCAGCTGCTGATGCCAGTGACCTGGGTTCAACAGGCGAGCAGAGCAGCTCACCTTGCATCATTGATGATGCAGCATTTAGCAAAGGATCTCAAGCTCCTCTGGATGCCGGACGTGAAGCAGGCACTGTGTGCTCCACTGTGACTCACTCCATTAACTCCCAGCTTTTAGGAACCCAAGAACCAAGGGCAGTCACTTCCGTCATGGTGTCCCACCTGACCCCTGCAGAGACCTTCACTCTGGACAGCCTCAAAGCCGTGGAGGTCGTCAACCTGTCCGTGTCTTGCACTGCCACGTGTCTTCCTTTCTCCTCCGTGCCCAAGGAGACCCCTGCCCGGGCTGGATTCGCCTCCAAACAGACCCCGTTGCCCATCACTCATCAGCCTTTGGGTTCCTTTGGCGTTGTTTCTGCCCATTCCAGCAAGTTGGAGGAGGAAGTCAGTGAAAGGATGTATAGGTAAGCTGACGGCTGGCTTACCCTCCCCAGCACAGTTTTACATTTCCCACATATTTCCCAATTTCATGCATACTATTTCAACCTTGAGATAGGAGTTATTTCCTGATTTAGATAAAGTAATATACTTACGTCCTACAAATCAGAGATACAGAATAGTATAAGTAAAAACTATCAGTAAGCACCTGTCTCTCAAATACAGCCACTGCGTAAGTCGTCCTACACTTGTTTCTATTTACATCTCTATCTAGTCCTCTTATGCAAAAATAGGATAGTTCTGTACAAACTGTAAGGTTTTTTTCAACTTAATGTATTGGGAACATTACTTGTAAATTTATTTTTGCGTTATCATTTTAATGTTTAAACCATATTCCATCATATAGATGTACCATGATTTATTAACAAACTCTTTTAAAAAGGGACATTTGAGGTTTTTTTTTTTTCCAGTTTTTGTGATGATAACTCTGTTTTGAGTGTCATAATACCTCTGTCTTTGCACATTTTGAGAGGGCAGTTCTCTAAGGGCCTTTGGGCCCTTAGCAGATTTGTCTGCTCGGCCCCTTTGTGCAGGTCTTATGTGTATCAATTCTTTTGCCATGCCAAAATCCATCCCTTAATCCTTGCCTTACATTTGCATTCATTATCGCTCCCTCATCTATAAACTCTACATTTGATTAATTATGTTATAGAATCATTTTATTACTCTCCTGCAAAATGCTGAAGAGGTACATATTAATGATACCCATGAAAGAGATTGCACAGGCAGGTAAACTTTGGGTCCCTTGCTTTATAAAGAACATTAAGTACCTATTATGCTCATGGGATCAATTTAATAATTGCAGTAGACTGCAAGCACTGCCCAATGCCTGGCTGTGGGGTCTTGGCTGTTACTGTACTTCCAGCCTAATAGGGAGACAGAAAGTGAGAGAAGTGAACAAGGGTAGTTGGGTAAACAGGAGGGTTCTTGTGTGTGTGCAGCTGAGCTGGAAATAGAAGGAACCGATCTGGCTGGGGACATCAAGTGAGCCTAGAGACGGTGGCCTGGGGGAACCTTTTAGAGGTGGCTGCCTAGCAAATATGAGACACAGTGGTGAGGATGATGATGGGGATGGTAATAGGATGGTGATGATGGTGAGAATCATGATGGTGATAAGGCTGGTAACAGTTTTTTTTTTTTTACTATTTAATCAGTTTTGAGTACCATTCTAAGAATTTTTGCATAGACTGCATCAATTAACACAAAAAATAACTTTGTGGATTAGATAATGGTGTATTCCCCTTCTACAAATGAGGACATTCAGTGCAGAGAAGTTAAGTGGTCAGTCCACAGCTAGTAAGGGTCAAAGCTGAGATTCTGACCTTAGCAGTCAGACTCCTGAGTCTGTGCTCTTACCACCTTGTCCAATAATCAGGCAAAGATTGTGGTAACCCTGGGGAAAACGCATTTCAGAGAGATTTGAATGCACAAAGGCACAAAAATAAGCAAACTGAATTCAAGCAGGGAATCATGAGAAATGTGTTCTCTTTGGAGGTGGGGAGATGCTGCTGGGAAGCGGGTGGAGGCCAAGCCATGGTAGCCTTGTGGGCCACTTTAAGAAGCTTTCACTCTGGGGAGATCTTTTTTAAGGATTGCATGGATCCTGGGAGCTGAATGGAATCATAGAAGTCCTGCTCCATGCAGGAACCGCATAGAAATCTGCAGAACCCAAACCAACAAAACTTTTCCTGGAATGCTTTCTTATCTCCTTGTTGAGAAAAAGCTTCCCTCACCAGCATCTCCTGCAGCCTCCTATTCTGCCTTTGTTGCTTGCAGATACTTCCTTGTAGATATTCATCACTCCCACATCCTAGCCAGCTCAACTCATCTCCTGCTCAACACGGCATACACAGTGTGGCTTCTGATTAATTAGTGTATTCTCCAGTTTTTATCAGGCCAAAGAAAAATTTAAAAAAGAACTGAAGATTGATGGATTTCTGTACAGTGACTTATCTGTACTAGCTTCTGATATACCGTATTTCCCACCAGAGGAAGAGGAAGAAAATTTGGAAGATGGGATTCACCTGGTAGTCTGTGTCCATGGCCTAGATGGTGAGTGCCAAAAAGGTTTCCACCCCAAAATCTGTATTATACACAGTTTTTAACATGTATAAATTAAGTCAGTTATTCATTCAATAGTGTTATTAGCAACCATGGGATGGCAGCGTGCTAGGTCTAGGGAAATGGCCTGGCCTTGTTCCCAAGGAAGAGATCTCTCTGGCACAATAATCTGTTGAGTAAATGAAATTCATAAATGAATGCAATAAAGCATTGAAGGAATATATGGAATAAATAAATATTGGAATGAATAATTAATGAAACTAATGAACAAAAATAAAAGAAAGACTGGAGTGGATAGGTGGATGGATGGATGGGTGGGTGGATGGATGGATGGATGGATGGATGGATTATTGGGATGAAAATGTTAATGGGAGCATGAATAGTTAGAGTGTATGGGTTAATGGAACCCATGTGTCAATAGTACAAGGGAAGAAATGTAGTGGAATGAATGCATGAATTCATTTGGAAGGGACATGGGTTAGTGGCCCAAACTCTTTCATTGCCTATTTTTATTCATTTCTCACTTATGAGGCAATTTTTGTATGCCAGATACTGTACCAAGTTCTGGGATTGCAGAGACCCAACATGGTTCCTGACCTTAAAAAATTCTTAATTTTGTGAGATCAGCAAATATGGACTGAGAGCTGAATGCTACAAAAGAACTATCTACCAGTCCTGTAGAGGTCCAGGGGAGGAGAGAAGGGAGCGGGAAGGGCTCCTTCTCCCTGTCCCACTCTCCAAAGGACCTAGTCCCCACTGTCAGATTTCTTAGGGTTTCTCAGTCAGTCCAAAATCTCCGTAAGATACGGAACTTAGCTCTGCCAGAAGATCTTGAGGTCCCGACTCAGCCTGGACCAAAGTCAAACCCTTGGTCCTGCTTCCCCTTGTGAATTCCAGCCTTACCCTAACTGGTTAAAGACAGCAATCAGAGCAGCTGGAGATACAGGGCATCTGAGTTCTCCTCAAGCTCAAGTTTACATCATAATTGATCTGCAAACTGGAATGTGGAACATGATTTCTGGAAAAGTCTTCACATCTACTTTATATGGACTCCAATGCATAACTAATGTCAGATAAAGGAAAGGACTTCTTTAGGCCTTCCTGGGTGATGAGTGGCAAAACCTGTGGTCACAGTCTTCTGGTGATGAGTTATTAGGGAGTGGTGGTGTGCTATGCTTCCAGGACAATGTTCTTAATTCCCAATCCAGTGGCTAATGCATGTAATTGTCTGGCTATATGCCTTGGAAACCGGGACGCTCAATCAACATGTCTATTTGGTCAAGAGTCAAATAATCCAGTGGTAAATAATACATTCTAGATGAAGAGGAGGAGGAAGATGAGGAAGAGCAGCAGCAATGGCATATCTGTCACCAGGGGCCAGGCACCATTCTGAATGCTTAACATATATTAATGTTATTGATCCTCACAACAGCCCTGCAAAGTAGGTGGTATTATGGTCCCATTATAACTGGGGAAACTGAGTAAGAGGGCAGCTAACTAACTTGTGTAAGTTCCCTTAGTTAATGTGGTTGAGCCAAGGTTAAAACCCAACTGTCAGACTCCCAAGACCAGGGTTTCATTCTGCATTATGCCAACAAATTCATCTCTTTCCCCATCCAAACCTTCATCCCCATCGCTGTTTGAGTCATCTGTTAAAAATCTTACCAGATCTGGCCATGCCAGTCTGTTACCAAAAACCTGTTTTTGTAGCTCTCAGAAAATAAAATAAGCCTTTTAGAAAGCTCCTGTATTCTAACCTTCCCCACTATCATCTCCTCCCCTTTCGCTCCTCCCATTACATCAACTCTGCGTCTTTCTCAGGGACGTTTGCCGTCCCACACCATTGTGCCTAGGCACCCCAGGCTCTCTCTCTCTGGTGAGTTGTCCCCACTCAGCACTGACATCAGTGCTTCCAAGACCCAACTATTCACGTATCTTTCCCTAATTTTACCCCACCCAGGTACCATGTACTAGGATTTCAAAATTTGTACTGAAATCGGAATACTTTTTTAATACATTTATTAAAAAAAAAGAAACCTCAAATCACTACCACAAATGAAATACTAGAACAAGTTGGCCCGCAGGGAGAGTAACACTAAAAATAATTACAGTGATATGAAAATAATCCTCTTGAAGTTTGGCCCAACTGTCAGAAGACTGGGCTTGAGACTCATTTTCTTTCTTAAAAAGTAAGAAGCTAATGAAGACATACCTATGGATTTTGTTTTTGTTTTGATTTATTTATTTTAGAGAGAGAAAGCAGGGGGAGGGCCAGCAGAGAAGAATCTCAGACTCCTCACTGAGTGTGGAGCCCCATGTAGAGCTCCTTCTCATGACCCGAGCTGAAATCAAGAGTCAGATGCTCAACTGACTGAGCCGCCAAGGTGCCCCTGAAAGCATACTTGTTTTTAACTGGGACTTCCAATTAGCAGTGCTACAAGAAAGACAAAGAATGACCTTCTCACTCATCAGCGTGATGTACTTTCAATGCAGGTGCGATGGAAAACTTAGCATCATGTCACTCATGAGTAGTGTGCTCCTCCTACTTACCTGATATTAAATTAAAATGAGAAAGACTCTCCATTTCTTCATGAAAGTGAGAAGTCTTGTCAGGCCATGGACTTTTATTTTTGTCCACCATGTATGTTGAGCAAGGAGGTTATAAAGATGGAGCAGCCTCATCCATCTCTGAGCTGTGTCAGAAAACAGAGCTGTCAATTACGGCATTATCACCTGGGCATAAAGTCATCAAAGAGACAACCAATATCACGCGTAGGTGCTTTTGAAGGTTCTTTCTCTGGTTCAAGGTACATATATATCCAGACTCTACAGAGTCGTACAAGACGCACTTGTTCTGATGTCACTTCCAAGGATATAACTATATTAACAGAGAACTAAAGAAGTTAATAAGAGTTCATGAATATTCACACAACTCCTCATGATGTGCCAAAATCCAAAGATTGGTATTCTTGTAAATGGTCTCAATGTAACACCTTATCAAATGGTATTTTCTGAGAAAGTTTCAAGTTGCAGAGCGTTCTCTCTTGCTCAGTAGCTGAAGGAGAGGGGCCACCGTTGCTCCTTATTTAGACTCACTATGCTAAATATAAACACTCGCTACTTTTCTTTTAAGGCCAGGTCCTGGAAGGTCAGTAGGTTGCTTTAAATAAGAACAACAGCAGGACCAAAGAGCCTAATTTATTATCAGAAATGAACAGAAAGAATAAAATTTAACTTAAAAACACAAAATAGAAACCTTGCCCATAATAACAAGAGCATTTTGTGACTGTGACTCCACAAGTTTTGGGCATGCGCTCTACTGGGCCACCATCGCACGAGGTGTTTGTGTATATCGGGTCATCCTTAATGGTTAGGGATACCCTCAAATGCCTGTAGTTCTCCTAAATTCCATGTGGCATTCCCACCATCCTTTGAGTCAGTTGTTAGTTTCAGGAAGAATGATAAAAGTTGTTTATAAACGATATCACTTCCAGAGATATAGCTTATGGTTATAGCACTGTAAGTGATATTGTTTACGAACTACTTTGAAACTCTGGTTGTTTGGTAAAGTAGGTTCCCTGTCTGTCCAATAAGTAGCTTCTAACTCTTGACTCTACAGGGATTCATCTGAGGAATAGGTCAAAAATTCAGGAGGATGCAACTGAACCCTAGAGCCTGCGTGCAGTGTACCCTTAGCCATCCTTGAATAGGAAGCTTTTGGGGTTATAGCAGATCCATTCTCCACATGATTTTTACTTCATACGCTACAAGGATGCTCTGCTATGAGCAGTGGCCTCTTAGATTCCTCAGCTGTTGCTCCTCCATCCTGGTGGTCACTGTGGAGCAGATGGCATCCACGGAGCTGGCACATTCATAACTCCTGGTCCTAAGGGCAGTTCTTATTTTATTGCACAAACCTGTGCCCTGACTGGCCCATCTGAGGGGCTTGCTGGCTGCTTGTAGGTAGCAGAACTAGTCTTTTTATTAAGCAGGAAGTTGAAGATGGGACATGACATGTCGGTTACACCATGTCAGCCATCAAGTGGTACCGTATGCAGAATGTCCTCGGTGAACAGAACTGGCTGTGGAAGAGGAGGGGGCAGTGTGCTTGCAGCTGTGTGTGGAATGTTCATGAACCACATGTTTGTAGATAAGTGAGTACATCCAGGGAGGTAGGACTGCTAGAAAGGTCCTGACCTTGTGCCAGGGTGCCAGGGGATAGGGCTTGAGGGGGTGGAGTGTAGGACCACTAGGTTGGACTTGTTTTCATTGTTTTTATTATCTGCTTAACTAAAAAAAAAAAAAGAAAGAAAGAAAAGAAAAAAATAAAAGGGAGAAGAGGGAAACCTAAATCCCTCATGTGTCCATTTTCATATAAGTAACTATGGGTCTGGGGTGGGGTTATCTGTTGTTTTTAGGGAACAGTGCAGACCTCCGCCTGGTAAAGACTTTCATAGAACTGGGGCTTCCTGGAGGAAAGCTGGATTTCCTAATGTCTGAGAAGAATCAGGTATGACGACGAAAACATCAGAATTGAGAGAATCCCTGAATCGTGTCTACAAGAGCCTCCTAAAGCCACCCTGATAGTTTGTGGATGCTCAGATAGAAGGGGACCTCGCCAAAGAACACTCTTCAGGCACTTAGATGGTCTGGAAAGAAAAGACTCATTATTTCCTTTTGGGAGGGTTAAGAAAAAGTAAGATGTAAGAATATGTGGGTCAGGTGACTGGGGCCCCAGGGTAGGTGGAAGCTCAGAGCATAAATGATCTGGGTGTCCATGCATCTCTACTAGGTTAAGGGCACTGTCATAGGCATCATCCAGCCCCTGTCATGCAGCTCCCATGGCAGAGGGATTTGACTGAGGTACCATAGGAATGACTTGACTGGGTCTTGACAGAGATAATGAACTGATGTCTCTGTGTGTGAAATGGTCACTCAAGAATGATTACGTTCCAAAACATGTTGTCATTACTGCTTAAAAGTAAACCTCATAAACATGGATTTCTAGTACATCCCTTTAGAAGTACATCCCCTGGCTGGGGATTTCTTGGTACCACTTTTTAAACCTACTGTGTCTTCCAGAACATTTCTCATTAAGCTCAACTCAGGCCTTAAAATGACTAGCAATTATTCAATAAATCGTGTTAAATTCACAGTATATGCTGAAGAGACAGGGTCTGAGAGGCTAGAGGGTAGTGAACACAGCAACATCTGTCTTAGATGTGTTGTACATCATTTACCCAAGCCTTACACTGGTGTGAGGAGTAGGCTGCGTGCTTCCCTGCAGGGCTCAGGAGGAGGCAGGCTCGCCTCAGGGAAGAGAAGCTGCCCGCACAGGGCCTGCTGGTCTGCAAGCACGGGTCTCTCTAACTCCATGGACACTAAGAAAGTGACCAGTGCTGCATCCCTGCAGTGCCCTCAAGGACCACTGTGTGGCAGGTGACAATGAGCCACAGGCCTTCTTTTTCTCCTTCTTCCCACCCTCATGAATATTCATGAAGCCTCTTGTCCACCTTTGTAGCTTGGCTCTTGGCATAGTTCCAGGTAGCCCACAACACTGTAGGACAACTCCACTTATGAGAAAGTGTTTTTTATCTTGACCCCAAATCTCTCTCCCTGTGGCTTCGGTTTCCAAAAGTTCATCTTTGAAGTTATATACACCAATGCAGTTTGTCTTTCCCATGTCTGCCCTTTCAGATTTTCAAAGTCATATATGATGTTTCTCCTCATCCTTTTATGCCTGTATCCTCTGACCACCCCTGCTGAGTTACGGATGGCTTTGGATCCTTCTCTGGACATGGCCTGCTAGTGCAGTCCCAAAGCTGTGCTGGAGGAAGAGCATGGGCATGGGTGTGAGTCCTGGTGGCATGGGCTTCCGCTTGAGCCTGTTTCCTTCTGGTGCAGTGGGGCCAGGAGTCCACAGGCACATGAAGCCCCTGGCACATGATGACCTGTTGGTAGATGCTGTGTGTGTGCTGCTCTTGCCCACCTGCTTCTCCCATTGGTTTCCAGCCAGCCTCCTGACTGAGGATTCTCCAGTGTCCTTAGAGCCCCTATCTATGGGCCCCTCTCCTTGGTGCTGAACCCCCATCTGTTAGCCCAACATCAGGCTCAGGCGTCCTCCCAGAATGTTCCACCATGGAAGAAGGTGGGCTTGTACACAGAGCCTGGTCTCACTGTGACCCCACCCAACACCCATTCCCTCTCTCTTCTTCCAGATGGACACATTTGCAGATTTTGATACCATGACGGATCGGTTGTTGGATGAAATCATTCAGCACATCCAGTTGTACAACCTCTCCATATCCCGAATTAGGTAAAAGGAATCCACAGGTAGTTAATGCTGGGGGAACAGGGTGACATTTCTGGGTGTTGACTATATACAAGTTCAGCGTGATGCCTTCTGTCTACCACCTTCCTAGGCTAACTTGTTGCTTACTGGTTAGATGACTTTCAGAGCAGAAGCAAGTGGGGACAGAGGAGCATTTCATAGCTCAGTAGGAAGGGCATTGGACCTCAGAAATCCCTAGGTTTGGATTGCTTTTCGAATATTCATATGTTAGAGTCTGAGGACTGACTCCACCATGCAGCCTATCTCAGGCTCTTCAAACCTCTGAGCCTCCATTTCTCCACCTTCTAGGTGAGACTAGCATTGATATCAGTCCTTATACTCCAAAATTAGCTTGGCTGAAATGTTTTCTGATTAAGGTGATAGTCTATGGCTTGCATTTTCTGTGCACATGCAGTATGTGGACATGGTGGTGAGTCCATGTGTATCAGTTGTTTGAGGCCCCCAAGATAAATTATAAGTTCTTTATTTTACAAATGAGAAGTCAGAGGCCTATGGAGATGAGGTTGAAAAGCAAGGTAAAACAATTTCATAGACAAACGCTTGTTTCCTTTCTTGGCCTGTTTTGTGTTCACCATGAGCAGAGCTATGGACCTCTCATGTGGTAGGGTTACCATAAACAGGCACTCATCTTGAAAATAATGATGTGTTGGATCCTCAGATGTGTGAGTTGCAGTGTGACTGAAGCAGAGCATACAGGAGGGGCGTCCAGCAGTGTGGGCTGGCAGTGGGCAACTCCATACATTTGTAATGATGATGGGCAAGGAATAAAATCACAGAGGGAGTAAGAAGTCAGGTCATGAACAGCCAAGGAAGTGGGGTTTCACCCTGTAAATGGCCAGGACCCCCAGGTGGCCAGAGATGAGACACAGAGCACAGGCAGGGCTGCTCTAACAATACAGAGCCTGGCCACACACTCATGTTTCTCTTCTGATCACACTGGGTGGCAGAGGCCTGGTGCCCCAGGTCTCTATCTCAGGCTCACTGTGACCAGAGTCTGGAAACCCAATGAGGGTGGGCTGGAAGCCCTCTTTGTCAGATCTCCCGAGTTGGGGTGGAGGAGGGCGGCGACCCCTCGGTGCTCCTGAACATAGCAGCTGGCCTCCCGCAGCCACACTCACGTGTGTGACTTCTATCCTAACAGCTTCATTGGCCATTCCCTCGGCAACATCATCATCCGATCGGTCCTCACACGGCCCCGGTTTCGGTATTACCTCAACAAACTCCATACATTCCTGTCGCTGTCTGGGCCTCACCTGGGGACCCTGTACAACAACAGCACGCTGGTCAGTACAGGTAAGACTCCCCCAAGCCCATCACCCATCACAATCCATTTGGAGTGGAGAAAAGATGAAAGCAGAAGCAGGTTCTTGGTGGAATCCTATGGCGTTGGAGCCTCTCCCAGCATGGGATGCTAACCGAAGACCTGAGTCTTACAAAGAGGGCCTCTCTTGTGTGAGTCCAGTGAGGTCAGACTAGATGTCACCCAAGACCTTGTCTGGGAATGGAAAGCTGATGCCCTGGGGTCCTGGCTGGACAAGACCACATAGGTGGCACCTTTGCTCAGCCCATAGTGATGGGCTTTGAATCATATCATTGCCAGGGCAAGCCTGTGGCCAAGTTCTGACCCCACACATGTAGGGACAACTCTGGACAAGATGGTTTAATCTCCCTGCTACTTAGTTTCCTTATTTTTAAAACAGAGCTAATGTCTTTATGTATGTCTGTGTATATGTATGGATACATTTATGATTTTTAAGCATAGGTATGTGTGTACCTGTGCATGTCTATAAATGTGTCCATCAGATCCGTATGTGTATCCGAATTGTTGAGGATTAAGCAGGAGAAGGCAGAAAGAAGTTGACTACAGTTATGAGACATCAACCATAGTGGGATTCTATACTTCTTGCTGGAACAGAATGACATGGCCCACAGCTTTGAGACTCTCAGAATTCCCTCTGTCAGGTTAGGGACACTATGGAGTGTAAGGAAGCAAGGCTCAAGGAATCTTTTTTTTTTTTTTAATAAATTAATTTTTATTGGTGTTCAATTTACCAACATACAGAATAACACCCAGTGCTCATCCCGTCAAGTGTCCCCCTCCGTGCCTTGAGCAATCTTGGACAATGAACATAATTTCCAAGACAGTGAATTGGTGGGACAAGTTTTTTGTGCAGAAGAAAACAGTAGGTGTGACAACATAGAAGCGTGGCATAATCGGTAGACCACAGGTGGCTCTTTGTGACAGAAATATAGGATGAGCTAGAGGGGCAGGGGGTGGCAGTGAAGCTCTCAGCAAAAGCCTGATGATGAAGGGCCTCATGTGACGTGATGGGGTTAGAGGAACCTGCAGGCTGCACAGGTACTACCCAGGTGCTGGTATCTGTAGTTGCACCATGGCTGGCAGATGGTAGCCCACCGGGGGCATCAGGTCACATATAGTAAGAACTGGTTTCTTTTTTTTTTTTTTTAAAGATTTTATTTATTTACTCATGAGAGACACAGAGAGAGAGAGAGGCAGAGACACAGGCAGAGGAAGAAGCAGGCTCCCTGCGGGGAGCCTGATGTGGGACTAGATCCCAGGACCCGGGGATCACGACCTGTGGCAAAGGCAGATGCACAACCACTAAGCCACTTGGGTGTCCCAAGAACTGGTTTATTGAATCATACTAACAAAGACTTCAGTGGTCCCCGTTTGCCCCAACCACCTTTCTGTTATTTTAAGTACATCATTTAAAATGTTGATCGTAATGAATGGAGGACCGTCCCTTTGCCGTTTTCTCTATCCTCACAAATCAGGGAAGCCATCGTTGGGCAGCAACAAATGATTTAAACCACACTGAACTTTTTTCACACTTGTCATCTTGCGACATTACAAAAAGTTCTGTATTATATCCGTTTCCTTGCATTTTTATCAAGCTCACTTTTGTCACAGTGGCGCGATACTCGTCAGTGTTTCTGAGATCCAGATACCTCTCGGTTGTATCCAACCGAGGTCAGGTTGGACTCTAACTCGGAAGTCTGCTTTCGGTTCTTCCACGCACTGTGTGGATCTGTAAGGAACGTTCATACACTGGCTTTGTATTTGGGATTGTTTCCTTGGGCTAGACTTATGAAAAGACGTCGAATAGGTCAAAGGGTACAAAGGTGTCCTGACTCCTGAAGCTAGCCGCCGTGTCATTTTGCAGGATGATTTTATATCCTTGCCACAAGTACGTGAGACAGATTTTCCTCCAGCTTCCCAAGAATTTGCCCCAGCGTCTACTAGTCTCTTATTTTAAAATTAACTAAAAAATCTCAGTTTCAGATCAATCTCTCCCCAATTGTTTTTGGCTTCCTTTATGTTATATTTTTGATTTTTGTTTTGTTTCTTTTTGGCCTTTCTAGGCTTGTGGCTCATGCAGAAATTAAAGAAATCTGGGTCCCTTCTGCAGTTGACCTTCAGGGATAACGCCGATCTGCGCAAATGTTTCCTCTACCAACTAAGCCAGAAAACAGGTGAGTGCCTTCCTCGGCAGCAGGCTGCTGTGGCCATGAGTGTGAGCTGGAGGTCCAGCCCTGAGACCCAGAACCGCTCCATCAGGGCGCCAATGCACGCAGGGAAGGGTGAGGTCAATGCACTGCGTGCACAGGCTCTTCAGGTCCCAGGGAGGCCACCGGGTACCCAGGAAACCAGCTGCTTCCAAGAAAGGGTGTCACAGATGCGCTAAGGTGTGCGTAGAGGTCATCTGCCCACATGAAAGCTGTAGCCTCTACTTCCTGCCAGGCTTTCCATGCCCTGATCGTGAATGAGCCCTGGGTCTGCATGCCCACTCACTGCTCCTTCCCAAGTACAGATCCGCCCACCAAAAGGGCAGGTGAGCACTGTCCATTTAGGTTGACACCATAGCAGGGAGACAGGGGTCCTTCCCAGCAGGGCAGAGGTCCCACTTTCATGGGAAGTGTCGGAGCCCCTGCCTGTGTTGTGAAAATGAGCAGAGGACAGCAGGGGTCCGTCTGTGTGTCCAGTGAGGAAACAGAGAGGTGACCGGCCGAGCAAGCCCACTGGCCCAGCCTCTGTGCCATGTCACCCTCTCCATCATCCCATGAACACCGCCCCTGCTGACATCTCTGCACCTCTCTGAATGTGAGGCCCCGGGCAAGCCCTGACCCAGCGTGTCCCTCTGCACCAAGCTGAGCTTTCAGGATTCCCCCACCCAACCCCAGGCTGATAAGAGGGAGGAGGACTATGCAGAGGGGAGTCGGGAGAGCACTGTGGTCACCACCGAGAGCTCGGGAGCTTGGATGACCGTGCAGAGCTGTCCTGGCATGGAGAGAGGGCTGGTCTTTAGAGCCCTGGTCAGTGAGGCAGCCTGGCCCCCAGCAGGTGGTCTCGGGATGTGGTGGAGAGACACTGGGGGCAGTGTGGGCAGCGGGCCCAGGGTGGGGTGCACTGCAGGGTGTCTGTCTGCAGCCCGTGCTGGGCTCTGAGGACGTGGGACACACAGTGCCCTCCAACCCCTCTGTCTCAGCGCCAGGGACGGGCTGCAGACAGGGAAGCGTGCTCAGAGGCTGTTTTCATCCAGTGGTGACGGGGAGCACTGCAGTTAGGAGCTGTCCCCATGAGAAGGAGGAGCAGAGTCCTGGCTTTATTCCTTGGGGATCCTTAGCGCTGGCCACGCAGAAAGCCCCTGTCATCAGCTGCATGTTGCTCACCTCCCCCTCCTGAGAGTAGCTTGCTCCTGTGTCCTTAGCTTCTCTGATGGCCTCCCCTTCTCCCTGAGGCAGGGACAGCAACAGTGTCGCAGCCAGCTGGGCTCCCCGCCTTTCCCCAGGATGAGTCCACACTGCCCTGTGCAAACCCGGGGCTGCACCTGGTTTGCACACAGGTAAGGACCTGGTGAAAAGCTCCCTCCTGGCTCGTTGCAGGTCTGCAGTATTTCAAAAATGTCGTGCTGGTGGCTTCTCCCCAGGATCGCTATGTGCCATTTCACTCAGCCAGGATCGAAATGTGTAAAACTGCCCTCAAAGACAGACACACAGGTAAGCCACATTTCATGTCTCCTTTTTAACCGACTTTCTGATTAAAAAAAAAAAATGAGTGCTGGGTGATGGGCACGGAGGAGGGCAGCAATGGGACGAGCACCGGGTGTTACGTGCAACCTGATGAATCATTGAACGCTGCATCTGAAAGGAACCATGTACTTGTATGTTGGCAAACTGAGCTTCAGGAAAGAAATACAAATAAAGAAAAATAAAAAGCACAAGTAAAGCTCAGGAAATTGCCGATGCCCACGAGGGCGCCCGGGGACAGGAACCCGGGACACCCCGGGCTTTTCTCTAGATCCCGCTGGCCCGACTTCACCTCCTCCCCTCCCTCCCTCCTCCCAGGGCCCGTGTATGCGGAGATGATCAACAACCTCCTGCGCCCTCTGGTTGAGGCCAAGGACTGCACTCTGATCCGCCACAATGTGTTCCACGCCTTGCCCAACACTGCCAACGCGCTGATCGGCCGAGCCGCCCACATCGCCGTGCTGGACTCCGAGCTCTTCCTGGAGAAGTTCTTCTTGGTGGCGGGGCTCAACTACTTCAAGTAGCGGCCTGGGGGCCGGGCCAGAAGCTCTGTGACCCCGGGCGTGTTAGCGGAGACATCCTTGGTGGCCCTCCGCCACTCCAGGCGGAGCTCAGAGAGGAAGGCGCCGAGGCCGGGAGGGTGGGGTGGGGCCGGCCATTCCAGGTGCTTCCATTTCAGAGATTTGGGAAAAGCTGAACCGGTCCGGTAGTGTCACCGACAAGACTTTGCCCGAACCTGTCCAGCCACCTGGAGTCTCTTTCAAGATGCTTTCTAGGGAAATATGACAAAATAAAGAAACAGAATACTTGGACCTGGTGAGCCCACCTTTTACCCACCCCTGGCTCACAGAGATTGCTCCAGTGTTACTAGGTCTGTCCGGTATGTTCCTAGCTCATAGCTTTATCATTCTGATTAAATTAAGTGCATACAAGCATTTCAGAACTCAGGTTAACCTCTGTGTGGAAGTGGAACGTCTTTGTGTAAATATAATCCTTACTAGATTCAAATGTGCCACTTGTGCAAGACAATGTGATGCCCACACGATCATTCTCTCATGTTTTCTCAACAAGGGGCAAAGGAATGCTTTATAAACTCCGATTCTCTTTCATTAACAGCAGTGGGTGGGGTAGGGTATGGGATTTAAGGTACGGGAGCCAGACAAAGGTGATGCTCTTGGGAAATGCAGGTTTGTTACAAAGAAAAACAACTAGAGGGAACGTGGTGGACTAGTTGCTTCACCCACTCCTCCAGACTGTCTATGCAGAGCCCTGGCCCACAGATTATTTCTGTGATTGCTTAAATCTCTGTCTGTAGTCGGGAAAACGGACTTAGAGCAAACCTAGCAGAAGGGGGCACTGAGGTTGATGCACGCGTGTGAAGCTCCTGCTGAATTTCTTCCAAAGAAATGCTACGTTAGCATCTGATGCAATTGCAAAAAAAAAAAAATACAAATACAAATAAAACCATTAACATGGCCAGCTGCTTCTCCTCTCCGTGGAAGGAGAAACATCTAAACGGAGGAGTGCTGGATTAAACCTCAGGGGAGCTCTAAGAAGGTGCTGGTTATCTTTCAATAGAAATGTCTTCTTGCCTTAGGAAAATAAAGGGCTAGGAGAGGTCACCATTGATAAAAAACAATAAATGGCAGGGACGACAGTGAGATCAGAGAGGAGGACAGCAGCCAGATTGAGGACCCAGCTCAAATTGTTACTGGTAAGTCACATAAGGGAAGTTTTGGAAATTGCCAGGGTATTTGATAGGGTCCCAGAGACTGAGCCCACTCTTGGCCTAAAGGAAGCCTGGAGAATCACCTAGTCACACTGAAGGAACGGGTGAACCAGGACGGTAGGGATGACTCACCCGAGAGACCCATCTTCAGGAAGCAGAAGCTCCTGTTTCTGCAGACTCCCCTCCTAATGTGCGGAAGCTAATCTGCCACGAGGTTCCTGGTCCCAGCGCCTGGACCGAGCCCTTTGGTCATCAGTGCCATGGTCTTAAAAGCAAGTAAATCTTGGCCCATCTGAGAATTTCAGTCCTCCCGTGTTAGCAGTGGGACTTTGCAGAAACAAACGCAGACCGTGAGAGACCAGTGCAGGTAGGCAGCTTCGCAGGATGGTAGACTGGTGGGTTTCTCATGAAAGAAGGTGGGGACGGAGTTGAATGAGCCCCAAAGGCAGACTTCCACACGGTGGAGTCAGAGTTTCTCTGTGGGTCTTCTGCAAACTTTCATTTTGTCCTAGGCCTAACCCATATGGGATCAGTTAAGTCCTGTGGGTATTTTTCCAAGTTCCCGATGTGCGTAGACTGGTTGCTACTGGTGCATAGACTGGTGAACACCGAACCGCAGTATAACCCAGGAGGAATGGGTTCCTGCAGTGGAGCCCATGACGTTGTATTTCCTGGTCCAGGCGAGTGTTCATGCTCAGTGCGGGACCATACGTTTGTAGCAACTTCTCCTTTTTTGGCCAAACGAGGAGCCCTGCCCCTCTGATGAGAGCATTTCATTTTATGTTTCCAATACCCATCAGCAAAGTTTGTCATTCCCCGGTCACTTGAAAGACCGTGTAGCCGGTGGTTATGGAGCCAGGGTGAATCCAATGACCATCGTCTTTTCCAATAACCAGATGCCATTTTTAACTTCAATATGCTGTCTGGACATAGTGAGAACTAATGGCAATAAACGTCCAGCTGCATGGTGCACCCCTTTTTTATGGGGGTGATCTGCTGTCTTTGTAAACCCTCTCTGGCCTCTGAGCATCTATTCTATTGTGTAGAAAGTACATCTCTATATTGTAAATAAGAGTGTCCAGTGTTGCGTGTCATGCCTCATTTGAAAAGGCTTTTTTATGTCTCTTTCTATTGAAGTATAGATATCTAATATATATATATATACATAAATATATATATAATGTAAAACAGGGACATTATATTATTTATTATAAAATTATAAACAAAATGCCTGCCAAGATAATGGTCTAGTATGTTTTCATTCTTAGCATAACTTTTGTGGGTTTTTTTTTGTTTGTTTTGTTTTTATGGTTTAAGTTTCTCAGAAGTAGGTAGAAATAAAAATTGCTACTGTTGAGATTGATTGGAATCCATTGTTCACAAGCCAAATTCATCCAAGAAGTGGATGTGAACCTAAAGTCACCTGGCGGCTAATCTAATGGCACAATGGCAGGTTGAAAGCGCTGGAGTGCTATGAGCCTGGGGAGAGGCTGGAGAGAGGGGAGGCTCCTGCTGGCGCCCACGGTCCACAGGTGTTTGCCGAGCGACTTCCCTCCATGCCAGATGGGAGCACAGGGATGGAGGGCACAATCCCCGCCGCAAAGATCACAAGGGAGAGGCAGCCTTGTTAGGCCGATCTGATGGAAGGAGGGCTTTGGCGAGGCCCGGGACAGGTGCAAGCGCTGCTGGAGGCCCATCATCCATGCCCTGCAGAAGGCTGTGAGCAAGATATTTGCTTTGCATAGCGTGTCACCACCAAGGGCACTCGTCCATCAGTTCATCCATCATCCATCCATCCATCCATCCATCACCATCCATCCATTAATTCATTAGTTCATTCATCCATTCAGCAAATACGTATTGAGGGACTGCTGTGCCAGGGATGTACAGGTAAGAGTGAGTGGCTCACAGCCCGGTCCCAGATGGGAAGGTGAAGGAGGTCGGTGCCACCCAGGAATAGGGATCAGAGTGTGCTCAGAGGAGGGATACCCAGCCCACACTGGAGATGTGCAGGGTCAGGAGAGGCCTCTGCCAGAGAGTCCACGGCCACACACCAGGACTGAGTCAGGGCTGGCCTGGTGAAGGTCGGTTGTGGGGAACTCCAAGAAGGAGCAGAATTATTGAAAGGCTCGAAGAGGGGGAGCCTAGACCCTTGGCTCACTGGACAGGCTGAAGGAGACGGCGCCGGGCTCCGGAGTAACCGGGCAGAGGAGTGAACAGTCGGCCAGCCTGTGGGGCCCTCTGCTCTTCCAGGAGGAGATCCCATCATTCACACTAGGAGGAGAATTTCCTCTTGGAAGTGGGGGCTCTCCCAACCCCCTGTGTTCACATCCTTCTCCCAGGTTAGCTCGTAGGACAGACCCAATCCCCCCCCCCAACTTGTTGGGGAGCCCAGAGCCATGTGAGCTCACCCTCCACTCACTTCCAACAACACAGGTGACGTGTCTCCCTAGCTTCTCATGGAGGAAAGCTGGAGCAAACAGCATCATGTAAACAGCCACGAAGAGGGAAGTGCTGTTTGGTTTAAATTATTGCAATTGAGCATTATTGTTACCATTTTCTTCTTTTTCTGTTTGTGGGTGGAAGCGTTCAGGGGGGAGTCCTGCCGTGGAGGTGGGGGTGGCTGCCCTAACCGCTCTTGAGCACAGTTTATGTGGGCGAGCGAGGGCCCGGGGCTCAGTTGACAGCTGGCCGAAGCTCCGGTCCCGGTTCAGTCACAGCCGGCCACGGGCCAACTGTCGGTCACAGAGCAAACGCAGACACGCAGACAGAAACACAGCAGCCCGTCCTGATGGAGGATGCATGGGGCCGGGGCTCGCGGAAAATCACAGGTGCGGTGAGGTGGCGAAGGCCAGGGAGCCGTGGGAGGACCCCATGGGTGGGGTGGGGGTGGGCGCCGGCACAATGTGCGAATGGAAGGGACAAAGTGGAAATGGCAGCCTGGGACTCAGGTTTTCCTGTGTTGGGACCATGACAGAGTATTCGGTGAGCCCTCACTTGTGTGAGACAGTGGCACCTCTCCAAGACACGTCCATTGAGCTGAAAAAGCTGGGTGTTTGCAAGCCCCCAGACCTAATTGTCATTTTTTTTTTTGCCATGTGATTTGAGCACCGAGGGTGACACCATACCCTGGTGTTTCATTTCTTTGTTTCCTTTTTTTTTTTATTTGCTTATTCGTCCCACGGTTTATTGAGCACCTATTTTGTGCTGAGTTCTGTACTAGACTATAGAGCTATTAACATATATCACATAATCCTAAATACTAAAGGGATCTTGTGGGATAATAACATTTAAGATTTTATTTTTAAGTGTTAGTTATGAAGTTAAAGCTATGAAACCTCAGCGCTGTAAGAGGAACCATGAATGTTTATTCCAGACTCTATGGTTCACATCTTGAGCTTTGCTCTTCCAAACTCTGTGCACACGTGTCTCTGTCCACATATCACAAAGTAGGCATGCATTGCAGTGACATTACAAGTCTATGTCCTGCCTTCCTTTCCTCTTTTATGTTCTTTTTCTTTCTTCCTTTACTTCTTTCTCTTTTTGCTTTTGCTTTTTTTTTTTTTTTTTGCTTTTTCCCTGGTACCTCAGCATTACACACAATACTAGGGATGTCTCAATAGAAAACACCATTGAAAACCTTTGTAAGCAAAGCTGAGCCCTTCCCACATCTTTTCATGTGAAATGGTAACAATACGCTCTACTTTTCGATGGGCTAAGCTCTGTGCACCAATTTTAATTTCAGGGAGAAGGGCCCCAATGGCTTCTGTCACATGAAGGAATGTCCCCAGTGTGTAGAGCTGGACTTCCAG